CTCGACCAAGTTCAACAGCTTTTGGAATTTCTTCATCATAATGGTGGGCAGCCGAGCTTGTCTTCATCGTTTGACGCGCAAGTGAACATGGCAGGTACATTTCTTTTTCAGTCTAAATGGATCATTGATTCGGGATGCAATGAGTATATTACGAATAATGAATCCTTGTTAGTATTCCAAATGGGGATAAGAGGACTGTTAAACGAGTTGGGGAGGTCAGTTTTTCGAATGGCATGAGGCTTAGTCGGGTTCTCAGTCTTTCGTTGTTTAAGTGTAATCTTCTATCGGTCAGCAGGCTCACTAAAGATTTTGATGTCGCCTAAACGTTTTTTACGCGATTTTTGCGTAATTCAGGACTTACGCTCCAGGAAGACGATTGGGACGGGTCAACTTCGTGATGGTTTATATTATCTTCGACTGAACGGTGCCGAAGAGTCTCGAACTTTGGTTTCTAGCAGTGCCGAGGGACTGGGGGAGCTTTGGCATTCTCGACTGGGTCATCTATCGCAGCAGAAGACCCCTTTGTTGTTTCGTTCAGTTCAGAATAAGTGCAGTAGTGAGATTTGTGATTCTTGTGTTTGTGCTAAACAGACACGGTTGCCATTTCCTAGACATTCAATAAAGACTAGTCGTTGTTTTGAACTCATCCACGTGGATATTTGGGGCAATTTCAAGGTCCCTACTCGGAATTAAGCTCGCTATTTTCTTACAATTGTTGATGATTTTAGCAGAGCCACTTAGGTCTATCTCATGTCTTATAAATACGATGTAGAGGGTTTGAAAATGTTCATTAATATGGTCACAACTCATTTTAATTAGCAGGTGGCACGGATACAGGCTGACAATGGGTTGGAATTTCAAACTAGTAGTCTTCGTGAGTTCTAAGAAGATAGGGGAATCGTTTTGCAAACCTCTTGTACTGATACCCCACACCAGAATGGGGTTGTGGAGCGGAAACACCGCCATCTACTTGAGACTGCTTGAGCGCTTCGATTCCGAGCAAACTTACCGTTGAGGTTTTGGGGAGATTGTGTTTTGACTGCCATTTATCTCATCAACCGTTTGCCCTGCAAGATCCTACAGGATCGTTCTCCCTACGAAGTTCTTCTTGGGAAACCTCCGTCGTATGCTCATCTTCGGATCCTGGGATGTTTGGCGTACGGCAAAGATATCCATAAATGGATCTCCAAGTTTGATGAACGCGACAGGTGTTCTGTGTTTATGGGATACCCAACTTCTCATAATGGGTATCGTCTCTTCGACCTGACATCTCGGACCTTCTATGTATCTCGAGATGTGCACTTTGTTGAGACTGTTTTCTCATACAGCGAGTCCACATCGTCCTCGCCATTGGAAACTACTTCTCTTTCGTCTCCCGTGGTGGATATTGAGGAGCCCTCCTCCACGTTGCCCGTGGTCAACAATGAGGAGTCTTCTCCCACGTCGAGCATGCATGGCCATGCAGGGGATCCGTCCCCTCACACTGTTTCTCGTGCAGTTGAGTCAAGTGAGGATACCACGTCCGCGCCAAGTCTGGCAGCGGCATCTCAGCTCACGGGTTCATCTCCCTCTGCCAGGCTAGCTGCTCCACTTCGACGTAGTGATCGTGTCCGACAAGTCTCTCGTAGTTTGGATGGATATGATGTTGAGCTGCCTCCATCAAACGCTCAGTATCCCATGTCAAATAATGCCACCTACCAGGCTTTCTCCCCGCAGCATCGCAGGTTCTTAGCCGCCGTCTCCTGTCAAGCCAAACCGACTCATTTTCGTGAGGCTGTTCTCTACGAAGAATGGCATATTGCAATGCAGTGTGAGATTGATGCTCTGGTCGGCAATGGGGCGTGGACTCTCGTCAGTCTTCCCCCCGGTAAGCGTGTAGTTGCTTAAAAATGGGTCTATAAGATTAAGTTCAACGCAAACGGTTCAGTTGAGTGGTACAAAGCCCGCTTGGTCGCCAAGGGTTTCACACGGATGGGAGGCATTGATTATCATGATACTTTTGCCCCGGTGGCAAAGTTAGTCAGTGTTCGTTGTTTACTAGCCATCGCTGCAGTTCGTTGTTGGGTTGTTCATCAGCTTGATGTCGATAATGCTTTCCTGCATGGGGATCTCCATGAGGAAGTATATATGCAAATTCCATAGGGATTTGCAGCTCCTAGTGACTCGCGAGTCTGTCGTCTCCACAAGTCCATCTATGGACTTAAACAGGCTTCTCGGAATTGGTATGCTAAGTTTGCTGCTACGCTTACCAGCCTTGGGTTTACTCGTTCACGTGCAGATTACTCTCTATTTGTTTGTCGCAGTCAAGAGAAGTACGTTGTTGCTCTTATCTACGTCGATGATGTCATCCTAGCGGGTGATGACTTGTGTTTCATTCAACAGGTCAAGGATGCACTTCATAGTCAGTTTGGAATCAAGAATTTGGGGCCACTTAAGTACTTCTTAGGGATCGAGGTTGCTCGTTCTCGTGTTGGGATCGCCCTGTGCCAGCGTAAGTATACCTTAGATCTGCTGCGTGACAGTGGTTTTTCGGGTGGCCGTCCCAGTGTGTTCCCGATTGAGCAGCATCATCAAATGACTCGGCATGATGACAATGCCATTTTGGTGTCTCCGGATGATGTTGCCGCCTATCGTCGTCTGATCGGTTGTCTTCAGTACCTTACAGTGACTCGACCAGACATCATCTATGCAGTCAATATACTCAGTCCCTATGTTCATGTGCCCACGTCGGTGCATCTCGGTGGAGATGAGCGGGTTCTTCGTTACCTAAAAAATGCTCCGGGACAGGGAATTCTTCTTCCTTCGAGTGGTCCTCTTCAGTTGACATCCTACTGTGATGCTGACTGAGGTGGTTGTCAATCTACTCGTCGTTCGACGTCCGGGGTACTTCATTACAATGGGTGGTGCGCCCGTTTCCTGGCGCACAAAGAAGCAATCAGTAGTCGCGCGTTCTTCTGCTGAGGCCGAATACCGTGTCATGGCCAGTACTATCAGTGAAGCCATCTGGCTTCGTGCTTTGCTCTGGGATATGGGTGTGGCCAGCACTGATCCTACGGTTCTCCACTGTGACAACCAGGCGGCTCTACATATTTCTACCAATCTGGTGTTTCACGAGCGCACGAAGCATGTTGAGCATGATTGTTACTTTGTTCGAGATCATGTCACTATCGGGGAAGTGCGTCCTACGAAGATTTCCATCGAAGTGCAGCTCACCGATTTGTTCTCTAAGGGTCTCGCCGGTGATCGCTTTCATTCCCTTTTATCCAAGCTGGGCATTTGTAACCTGCATGCCTCAGCTTGGGGGGGAGTGTAGTGATAGTTAATTCTAGTTTGCAGTCGTATTAAGTAAAAAGGGTTAGTCCTGTCTTTTCCCTTTGGCGCTGGTCGTGTATAACCCTAGGGAATTGTTGTTAGAGTTATATATATATATGGTTGTAACGTGATCGGTTGTAAGCTAAGAGTAAGAAGCTGAGATAGTATAATTTCTCTATGGAGTAAGCTCATTCACACCGAATGAGAAGAACCACGTAAATCTCGTGTGGTGTGTTTTCGTATTGCTTTCCACAATAATTTCAACATAAGCAAACGTAGCAACAAAATAAAGAAGACTAGCTAGCTAACACGCATCAGCGAAAAGCTGGTAGCTAATCCATGTAGATACGGACATGAAGGGCCAGAATGAGGATGGTGAAGACGGTGAAGAAGAGGAGTGTGTGGACAATGACTGCCTTCCCATTGGTTCTCAAGCTCCCAAACTCGAAGTGCTTTGTGTTCCCTGGTATCTGGAATACCAGCCCCGGCGACAGCACAATGAACAGCAGCACTCCCAACAGTATCGGTGCCCAATCCGACATTCTTATTATCGTTGTTATTGGTCGGTCGGTCGGTCGGTCTTCTTTCACTCTCTCCTCTCTCCACGGCTGGTCGTCGAATTGGAGAAATTAATGAAGGCAAAACACCTACCTGATCACCTCGCCCTATATATATATGAAGACGTTCTAATTAACTCACCATTGAAGGCAGGCACAAAAGTGCAGTTAAGCATGTGGGCAACAGTAGTCCTTCTCTCAAGCAATGAATTGCTTCGCGACGAAGCGAAAAATACCAAATCCCATCCCCCTGCCTGCCTGAGCTGATTCTGTACGTACTTCGTACGTTCCAAGCTAGTTTAACAGAAGAAAAAAATAAAAAGATTTAACAATTCATCATCATTGAGATTCTCAAGCGCAAGGCTGTACGGTTTTACTTTTGGCTGTACTCATCAAAAGGTATCGTACTAAGAAGCTAGGTGGACACTGATATATACAAGGGTTTATTCCCTTGTATTACCGATGTGGTACTTAGATTGTCCCATAACAGGGATGATGATCAGAATTTGGCATCCCTTCCTTCACCATCCACAAACACGAAGAGGCAAACACACAATGTTAGAGGAGAGGTGATGATCTGGTTGTATGGTTCTTTGAAAATGATGATGATATTGATATGGGCAGTGGTAGTGAATGCTATCCGAGGAAGCTTGAAACAGAGAATTGAAATAGTTATTGTAGATTGGGATTGAAGATTAGGATGAGGAATGGAGGGAAGGAAGGGTGCATTATGAGGATGTGTAATGATGCACTTTTTCGGACCGGGCGGCAGAAGGGTAGAGCTGGTCTGCTCATTATTATATTTGTTTGGTTATTCTCTCGGTTTATTTGTTATTATCGGATTAAGTATTCGGATTATTATTCTTGTTTAGCAAGTAGGAGTTGGACTAGGTTAGGGTTACCATGTTTAAGAAGAATTAGGTTTATGGAAGCTCTCCTATAAATATGCACTTAACCTTGCGTCTTATTTATCGAAGAAGAATAAACCCTAGTATTTTCAGTTTCTTTTATTTTTCATATTTGAGTTCCCGACGCGTGAGGCGGTCACGCGTCAATTGGTATAAGAGCCCGGTTTCGTCGAGAATCGGGACAACGATGCCCCCCAAGAAGAACACTGCCACCTCGCAGGACATGGGCGACGACGGCGGCGGCGGCCAGGCGGGCCGAGAGCTGGCGGAGGTGAGGACGAGAGCAGAGGCCCTCGATCGTCGCATCCGCGCGACTGAAGAGGAGCTCGGCCTTATCAAGAGCACGACCGGGAATATGGTGAGAGGCCAGACGGCGCTGCAGATTGCTGTGGAGGAAATCCGGACCGGTTCCCAGACCGGGTATGAGACCCTGGCGGAACGGCAAGCCGAGGTCGACACGAAGCTAGATCACATCAGCCGCGGCCAGGACGAGCTCCGGGCAAGCAACAATGGGATCCGAGCGACGATCGTGCAGCTCGCGGAGATGATTGCAGGGATGGGGAGTCGCGAGTCGGCTAGACGGACCACTAATCATATCCCGGCAGGCGATAAGCTCAAGGGAACGATAATGGAGGCCGAGGACAAGAGAGGGGACTCATCCCCACTGCCTGTGACCCCGCAGACCACGCCGAATCGAGGGGTTCAGGGTGGCGAGTTGATGAAGACGAGGAACCACACGATTCAGGCCCTAGGCGGCGCATGGGGAAGGTTGGCGATGGATGCGAGTGACTACCGACCACCGCCGACGTGGGGCTGCCGGCAGGCGCAGGGGCGGGGGCAAACCGAGGCGTCGGAGGAACGAGGATAGGCAGCTCGGGACCTCGCCAATGGGGGACAGGAGGGCCCGAGGGAGCTCGGCGGGGCCTGCGGGTCGGGTACGACGGGTTGAGACGGGACCAAGGACTGGGGCCCGTTCGAGGCCAGGTCGAGTACGAGGCCAAGAAGCAGGAGGAGCTGACCAGGGCGAACCGAACCGGGGAGCTGTGGGCCCGGGGCGATCGGAGGCGAGAGGAGAGGTTGCGGCTGCTCTGTTCAAGGGTCGGCAGGCTACCATCGAGTTTCCACGATTCACTGGTCATGAAGATCCGCCCAGCTAGATGTCGAGGGTGGAGATGTACTTCAAGTACCAGGGGATTTCTGATGAACAGAAAGTGGCCTTGGCGTCGTTCCACCTCGAAGACGATGCCAACCAATGGGTCATGTGGCTGGAAGAGGAGTTCGAGCAGAATGGAAGGGAGATGTGGTGGGAGGACTTCCATGAGGAATTCTGGAAAAGGTACGAGGCCTTGGAGAAAGCTGCGGGACATGAGGCGCTGGCAAAAATCAAGCAGACAGGGACCGTTGAAGATTACCAGCAGACATTTGAGAAACTGCTCAATCACTACCGTGGGTGGGGGAAAGAGGCGATCATGGGTTACCTACATGGGAGGGCTGAAGCTGAAAATTTCGGCCTACATCCGCGCCTTTAATCCGCAAAATACGGGGGATGCATATCGGTTGGCCAAGATACGAGAAGAGGAGATACGAGTAGAGAAAGCGACAATGGGAGCTGCTTCCCGGGGAACCGCCACGGCGCCAAAGGTGGGCTCCGGCAACTCCCAACCACCCGCTGTTGCCGTAGCCGTGCCAGAACCGCCACCTGTGGCCGGACGAGGACCACCACCGCCAGCCCGCCGAGTCATATGCAACTTGACACCAGAGGAGGCTGCAAGGCATAGGAGAGATGGGTTCTGCTACAACTGTGATGAATGGTTCACTTATGGTCATCGTTGTGCTAATAACCATGTGTTCGTCATGATCGGGGATTTTGGGACTGAACCGGCTGGAGAGAATGGGGTTGAGCTGCAGCCTCGAGACGAGGCTTTCGAAAGGGGGGAGGATTGATGCATTTTTGCGGATCGGGCGGCAGAAGGGTAGAGCCAGTCTGCTCATTATTATATTTGTTTGGTTATTCTCTCGGTTTATTTGTTATTATCGGATTAAGTATTCGGATTATTATTCTTGTTTAGCAAGTAGGAGTTGGACTAGGCTAGGGTTACTATGTTTAAGAAGAATTAGGTTTATGGAAGCTCTCCTATAAATATGTACTTAACCTTGCGTCTTATTTATCGAAGAAGAATAAACCCTAGTATTTTCAGTTTCTTTTAGTTTTCATATTTGAGTTCCCGACACGTGAGGCGGTCACGCGTCATGTAACAACCCTACTTTATGGTTAAGGTTCGATCGATCATTGTTAATTTAAACTTATAATTGGCTAAACGATTAGATACGAGAAATCGGACCAAACAAAATATCTACTGGATAAGCCGTGAATAAAATTATGAGAAAGAAGAAAACAAATAATGTATTATGTCGTCCAATCCTAACAATTTGATGGAATAAGTTCATTTACCGTGCCAAGAGATATTGTAGGTCAATGAATGCATGTGATTTTAGGATGATCACATTAACTTGATTAGTTGGAGTCGCTGAGATAATTAGAGGATCATTTGGTCCATTGTTTCGTACTTTGGAGTTTGGAGTAAGGCTGAGTAGTGAGTGGTTTTATGCGAATACTCAAACCCACCACTTGGTGGATGAAGAAGAAAATGATCCAAATCCTTCCAAGTGTATATTGTGGATGGATTAGGTGATTGGGCGGGTTTGGTGGATTTACAAATTAAAATTTAAAAATATTGATTTGGGCATAATTAATTACACACGATTTACCCCATTATCTTGTGATTTTTGTGGCGTTTACATCGCCTGAGATTCAATTCTACGCTAGATTTATGCATGTTTTAGAATGTTTCAAATCTCAGCAGGTAGAGAGCAAAGCGCCATGCAATCTGCTGATCTTTGGCCTGGGAATACAGTACATAAAGCTCTCCTCCCTCAATTCAGGGGGCAACACTTTGTTTCTGGAGGATGACACCGAGAAGATAAGCAAGATCCAATGCCACCTGGATCCACAAAGTTGAGTACTCCATACCAGCTGCTGAAGCATGCCAGGGAGACTGCAGACTGTGGTATGGATAAAGCCTCGAGCTCCCAACTTCTGAATTCAACCTGCAGGCTCGTGTTTTTCTACCAAACCCTAGGCAAGGTCTCAACGCCCAACCTCACGCCTTCTTGATGCATGTACAGAATAGTGCCACAATCCAATTTCTCATTAAAATAACAGTTTCAAACTAGTGTTCAAAGACGAAACGGTGTCTGGTTTCACAATGAAGTGACCTTGTGATCTTGCTGTAGGAGGTAGAGTTGAGTGTTGCACAGGAAGATGCAGTAGAGAGCAAGTGGAAAGGCAAGGCTGTTCACTACTTACAACAACAAAATTGAACTTACTGTTTCCTGAGTTAAATTCCTAACAGCCACATTTCACCTTCAATCTTTTGCATGCCCGAAATACATTCCTTCTCCATTCCATTTGGTTGCCACATTCCATCCGGGCCCATGACTGTCTTCTCCATTGACAACCGGACACAATTCACCTCCACAGAAGAATAACGTCAACCTGAAAAGTGTGTACATGTAAGCAACATTTAGATTACACCATAGACAAGCCTGTTTGTTTCTGTTGATGAGATTAATGGCAGCCCCTTGCCAACCGTCAAATGAAAGAGACAGCTTGTAACAACTAAAATTTTGGGGAAGTACGGCAGAGAAATTTCTACATACTTAATATCAGTTACACTCCTCATCAATCATACACCGCAAACTACATTTTCCATCACTTATTTGTATCTTCTCGCTGCAATAGAGAACAAAGCGAAACAAGCAACATCAGACTTTCATCTTTGTAAATGAACCATCATGAAATGAAGCGCATGAGACCGATCGAAATATGGCCAACTTTCCATGAGTTATATATTTCACCGAAATGAGATCATCCTTAGTGGTCAAAGTGAGCATAATCTCACCATTCGCTTACTGACGTAAGGTCGTAGTGTAATCGGCATTTCAGGATCAACTTCAACTTTGGGAAGCTCCGGTTTTTCACTTTCAAATTCTTTGAGAGATTCCTTGCGACTCCCAGACTGCCAAACTCTACCAAAATTTGGTAACCAGTTGGGGCCACAATCACTGTTGACAATCTCTCCTCTCTTCTCCATCTCAAGTTCGGCTTTTCTCTTTTCTGCCCAAGCTGCACCTACCCGTTTTGGATTCAATTTGGATTTCCCTTTCTTACTAGGAACAGAGGTATCCTCAGGATGATGTTCCACTGTCATCTCAAGCCAAGGAGGAGGTGCTCCTGTGTGCACATTTCCTTCTGCCAGCCCGGGAGCATTGACAGAGACTTGAGCAATAGTAGCCAAACCTGAGAAGATTACCATAAGCTGAGTATAGAGCTAATGAAGAAGATAATTCATTTTAGCTCTGTTCTGCAAACGAAGAAGACATTATTAGCAACTATGCAGACCACACTGAACCAGAAATTTCTCCTGTGCCTGTGCAGCTCCCCCAGCAACAAATGAACTCAGCATTATGACCAACTTGAAAAACCAACATACAGATACATAGAGTGATAAATATAACAACTGAATTCAATCAAGATTCTTACCGTGTAAATTGCTCCCTCCAATGGCCATGTGTTTACCCTGATACAGCTTTCCAAACAAGTATAAGTTTATCCACAACATATTGTAATTCTTATTTAAAAAATTCAAACTATAAATAATTTAAGGGGCCGTTTGGATTAGGAAATTTGGTTTGAGGGATTCAGGAGGGATTTGGGCCGAAATCCAAACGAACCCTAAAAAAGATTTAACAAAAATTTCAATAGAATCACAATAAAGTGTGCTTGTGACAACATGAAAAGTAGTAAGAGGTTTCGATTCTATCGCATATTCACAACAGGAGTGATACCGACACAACAACTACAAATTCTAACTTGGGCGGAATGCTCCTATAGTTGCAGGCAACATGGTAGAACCGGAACTATAATACAAGATACAGAATCATGCTGACAAAAGGATAAAGATACTGGATCATGGACAAGAATGACAAATCTCTGCAAATACGCAAACAGTTTCAGAGACATGTACTTGAAAATGAAATAATATAAAAATCTTGCAACTGAAAGAACCATCAAAAGGTTTAATGCATCCAAGACATGAATGAAAGGTCAAATGGAGTAAGAAGTACACTTACTCCTCCATTCCCAAAATTACTTGTGCCAACCGCATCTGTGTGAGGGATGCAATGCTGACTGTTTTGCCAACCTATGTGTTCAAAGTATACAAGGCATAAGCAAGGGTATAATCAGATACGAGACATCAACTAAACTGGGCGGAGAAACGAATACCTGTTATGTTGTTTGAATTCCACCTGTCTGAAGTTGAACACGCATTTCCAGATGCAGTGATGTGAGCACCACAAACAATTCTACCATCAGCGGCTGTTGCTGGGTGTCCTGACTGTGATATCTGATACTTATGCGTATTGTATTGTAAAGGCAAAACATTATTTAGAAATTTTGGAGTAAGAGGACCCAAATCATTGTTTTCAAAGTCATTAATGCTCTTATAGCTGAGCTCATTCTGGATATCATTTGAAGGTCCGATTTGCAGCCCATTAGTTCGATCACTACATGATGAAGATCCGTCGTTCAGTGAATGGCACTTCTTCTCCCACTGCAGGTACAAGAAAAGTAAAAGCTGTTCAAACCAGAGACATCCCTTGCCACAGAGGATTCAAATATGCTTCATATGTCATCCGAAAACGACTACGATACCTTGGCTAAATCAGCTTCTGAGAACCGAAAGTTGTCCGCGTGATCCATCCCACCACCATATTTCCATAGAAAATGCTTCAATTTTTTGGCATGATCCGCACTTGCAAGGTGATTAATTGCATTCGCGCTGTCGAAAGCCCATTACATAGAGATTTTTGAGCACTCGTGCGTCAGGCTTAGACGTTGGAAGGAAAAACACAAGGCGGGGGGAAATAAAATCTGTGGAGAATCTTACCAGGCGAATGAGCTACCGATCTCGTCGACTTCAGCATCGCAGACGACGCACCAGAAGCGATTGCGAGAGGCGAGCTCGGGACGGAGAGTGGTAGGGTTTCTGAGGAAGAAGCGAATGTCGGAGAGCTTGGTCTGGAACCGATGGAGGAAAGTGGAGAGCGATTTGGTGTGGTTGGGGAAGTACTTGTGGCGGTTGCCGTGGTCGTGATTGAGATTGCATACTTTGCAGAATTCAAACTCGCACCTCTTACTCTCCTTCTTCCTTTTCTTGTCCGCACTTTTCATCATTCTGATTCACGGCGGTGATGATTCTGCGGCGGCGGGGAAATCGCCGGCGATAGCCTCACGCTCCCGCTCTGAAAGGGTTGGCAAAATCTGTATTCTCAGAGCGCGAATTGTTAGTCGGAGTCGGAGCTTTAGTTACCCCTGACCTGTTCTTCCAGTTGAAGTCAGAAAACTCGAAGATAGCCGTGACAGCAATTTTAGATCCTGAGCGAAAACCGCCCATCAAATTCCCTCCCTCAATTGCTCTTCCGTCGACCCTCGAGGGATCGAAATCCATCACTAGCGGGCCCAGTCCACGAACCGAACAGGGGAGACAGAAGCGCTTGATCAAGGCCCAAATCTATTGTGGGTCAATGTTATTGGACCTAGGGCTTCTCTTAGATTGAGCTATAGGTTGGTTCTGGCGATTCATTCTAATTCTATCCGGGCTAATACTATTTGTAGAGCATGCACTTTTTATAAACCAAGTGTTCATGGTTTCCGACTTCCGGTTACGGTTATATGCCCATCTTTTCTTTTTGTAGAAGACAAACGCAAAGGTGTCCTATGTCATGTATATCACAACTCATGGAAATGCTCATGTTATCATACAGTAGCCAGTTATAAAGGTTCAGATTGCTCACATCTAAGATGTGTGCCAAAAGTAAGTGAATGGCCCTTAGAAGCTTAGAAATTGGCTGCAAAATTACATTCACGATAAACATGATTAATTTCCACACATTCCCTCAAAGAGCTTCGTAATGTGACCATGACAGTGATCACTATGACCCTTGTCTCTGATGATGCTCAAAGCAGTGGTTGAGTCGAGGTTAAACTCCACTCTTCTGTATCCAAGCTATCAGGCCATTCCCAACCCTTCTGCAACTCCCTTCAGTTCATCATGAGTGATGGTGCATCTCCACTCTCCCAAGATTGCTTGCAAACGCCCCTAAGCATCTTCGCGGGTGGTCTCGGATGAGTCCTCCAACATCATCTTGTCCAAAGAGGTGAATCACAGATCTATCAGTTTGAACTTGTATTCAACCTTCTCTTGGTGGTTTCCAAACAATCTTGTGGTTGGTTGTGGTCTTTTGAGCTGGTGTAAGGCATTTCTGGCAATGATCCAAGCATTCACTATTTGGATCATACCAGCTTCAAACTACATCTTACCATCGTACACTTCCTCATTATGTTGCTTCCACAGATTCCTGCAAATTACGCCGAAACAACTCCATTCAAAGGGTTCATCATATTCTTGATAAACCAAGTCTGGAAGTCGACTCTATTGTCATTCACCTGCAGCTTGTTCTTGAAGTGCCTCCACAATCCTGCTGTTTTACCACAGTTTATGAGGATAGGTTTTGCCATTTCTTCTTTTATTCTGCAATGGTTGCACATTCTGTTTCCAATAAGTTTCCTCCTCTCTCTTTCTTTGTTCGTAAGAAGTCTATTGTGGTTAGCCAACCACAAAAAATGCTTGATGCGGCTCGGTCCTTTCCATTTCTACAGGCCTTTCCAGGCATCAATAGAAGAGTTGTTCAGCTCGCTTGCAACCAGTGAGTAGGGTGGCTTAAGCTTGAATCTCACATCCTACTCGACACCCCGGGTTGTCCTATCCTCTCCGAGTTTAGGTCTTGGTGCATCTGTACCGGCAATCAACTTAATCATCTCATTAAGAAGATAGTTCATCATTCTTTCTCAATCCCACTCACCTGATTCATCAGTCCAGCTAGCCACTAATGCATGCTGCTCTTCATTAGTGAGTTCCTTTAAGGCATACTCCTCCAATACTAAACCATTCTTCACCCAAGGATGAGTCTATAATCCATTTGATTCCCCATTCCTCAGACCCCATTGAATGGCCTGCTTCATGTAGGGCATGGCTTTGGTGTACCTTTCCATAGGCTGAACTAGTTGCTTCTCTTCATCTTTGTGTTTCCATCCTATAGTGAAAGTATTCTCCTTGCAGCACTTTAACCCACAAATCATGGTTATTGTTAAATATATGTCAAGCAAGCTTGACCATATAGACAAAGTTCATTTATAGTATTATTCTTTCCAAATATCATCAACTTATTCTATTTAAAAAACGATACTAAAAACAACGAAATCACTACGGATTATTAAAAAATCAATACAACATCTAAGCTAAATCACTACTAATTCAAACTAGTAGTAGTATTTTTCTAGTATTTTTTCACGTTAAAGTTCTTTTTGAAGGAGGAGAGAGATAATTAAAATTTAATTTATATATTAAATTTAATTTTACTAAATACCAATAAAGCCCTCCTTTGCTCCTTGGTTGGGATGGTGCTAACTCTTATACAATTAGCACCGTAACTCCTCCCTATATTCTTATGACAAAATTTGGGCAATTAGTAGTATCAACCGTGAACATTAAATGAACAGCTAGATTTAAAATGCAATTAAAATCAATGTATCGTAGTTAATAAATTGATTAGTCACGGGAAATCCTGTATCAATCACTTCTATCAATAATGGGATTATCCTGTAGCTATAGCTTGATCACGGGGATTCCCGTGACTAATTGAACTATATACCACGAGATTCTTCCTGTTATTATTGGTTTTTAGTCATGGGAAACCCCGTGATATTTAGCCTTTTACCACGGGCATGCTTGTCACGGGATGATACTTGTGATAAAATTCAATTGTCACGGAATTTGAGCATTCAGTCATGTGAAGTTAGACTCATTAGTTTAGTAGACTGCACAATTCTTTTCAAAACTTCTGTAGACACTCTGGTTAAGTGAGAGCTTAGCATTCGTAGAAGAGGGCGCAACTAAGGAGATTCTTTCAACATCGATGGTGTTACCCTCTTTCTCTTCTATGTATAGCTAGTTCAAAATTGATTGTGTAGGAACTTGAACTCATTTATCTTTGTATGTATTGAATATTGATGCTATGCTTTCATATGATGCTTGTGGTTATGCTAATGAATTTCAATGCCTATCATGTATCTATGGATGCCTTTAGTTTCGATGCCTATGTGATGATCATTAATGTTTATCTAGTATGAATGCCTTTTATCATCGATGCTTATGATTCTATAGTATATGCATTGTGCTATAGTATCATCTAGGTTGTTAAGAAATTACCCTACAGTGATACCCCGTTGATGATACACGAGTATAGAGGAAATAATAAACCATCTATACTTCGCGTACTATCAATGCTTGATTGTTATATCATCGATTATGGCTTAAGAGGCCCACACTCAATCATGCGTTATCCTCACTTCTCTGTTCTTCATTGATTAGGTGATGTCATGAACCGAACGCTTGCATTAGCTAGCTAGTCAAGTTCCCATTCCATGTGGCGAAAGCTCAAGTAGGATGACCTTAGTAGAAGGGATAGAGTGATTCTATATAGCTAGATGAATCATTAATGCATGCTATAAATGATTATTGATGTGTGTGATAGTAGTCGAATATGGCTTTCTATTCTATATTGTATCTTTACTTTTATGCGTCTATATAACTTGAAAACCCCCTCAGCATACTTTACTTTTCATTGTTTGCCTTACTAGGAAAAAACCCTAAAACTCTTTACTATTATTTTTCAAGCATGAATGGTATGGTTGAGTAGTTATGCATTAGAAGACCTTGTGGAATACGACCAAAGGGCATCCTATAACTTTTAGCACTTGCATGAATTGCATCATTATGTATTGATTAGTTATATCATCATATTAGGGTTTTCTTACTAAGGGTATGTTGTACCATAGATTTTACCCAAACTACGATAGAAGTCACCATATATATGAATGGTTATAACCTTGAGAAAAATCAAAGGTATTTCATAACCTTGTGACATGGTACTATATAACCCTTAAAAATTGTATTAATTTTATAAAAATCATACATTAAGATGAATTTAATTAGAAACAACATTCGCCGGTCATGATTCCTGGAAAGATTTGCAATAAGTTACATGCACACAATCTTAGATTTTAGGTATGTGGTCAAGATAACTAAGATCTAGGGTTTACTCATTAAGGGTTAGGGTATAATACCATGCCCCAAAATCCGATAAATTCGAGGTCTATATAGCATTTTTCTAACCAAGTGTATGCGGGAATTTAGATTTTACCCAAGGTACAATAGAAGACATCATAGACCCTAAACCCTAAGATTGTGCATATAATTTTTTTGTATATATTTTGACGAATCATAACCATCGATATTATTTCAAGTAAAATTGATTTTAGTATATGAGATTTATAGAATTAAAATCTAGATTTTAATCTATAGGACTTGGAATATAATATCATATATTCCAAAACTCCAGTCAATTCAATTCAAGTTGTAGATATAAACTAATTAGTTGGTGTATATATAAACTCGGCAATTAGGTAGAGTGTAACTATGCTAGATATGGAACTCTATACATTCGTGCAGTGCATGGGCTAATGAAACCCCATAACTCAGCAGATTTACATGCTGGATTTAAACCTAAACTATGCACATCCTCTTTAACGAGATATGAATCATTCCAAGTTACAACGTTGTCCTTTTGGTGGAAAGCACAAAAACAAGTAGCATTTCTTTATGGAGTCGATGTCCCTTTTGGTTTGGATTTGGAGCAGGTTGAAGTGAATTAATTAGCAATTCTGATGAATCCTCTGCAGATTCTAAGTGCATGCTTTTGCTAAAAAGGTGAGTACTCGGAGTCGGGGGGGAGCACATGGAGAGGTAATCTTGCCGACGGAAACCTTTTTTTCCGAGTTTCGCTGAGCATAATAATAATTGTCCGCCATGGAAAAGCTAAGCAGGAAGACGTAGTTATATAGAAGTTAGGAAGTGGGAAAAGAGATAAAGGCGCCCAACTTTTTTCTGTTGCTTTTTATCCTTAATTAGGTCTACAGATGGATAACTTTCCAGAACCTAATAAAGAGAGCATCACTTCACTACTCTATGGATTGGCGGGGGAGGGGACGAAAACCTAAAAAAAAAAAAAAGATGGAAAAAATCATTATAACCATTTACATACATATATATATATATATATATATATATATATATATATATTTGGTTCAGCTTTAATTCTTTCTTGCCATGCCTTTATCGCCTTTTTGCGTTTGGAGATGTCCTTTTGGCCTTTGGGGCAGGCTCCCTCCCCTACCTATTTCCTTGTGTTATTGCTATTTTATTATAATGATATATCTTTAAGGCAGGAAGATCCTCTGGCCCCCACTAGATTATCTCTTGATTTCAGCGCAGAAGAAGAACTGAAGTCAGTGTTTTATTTATCGGGGAAGCCATCCCTCCTTGTTTTCACAGATTTACATTTCCCACTTCACAGGCCATGTCCATTTCTTCCATGAAAGGGTTTTGATTTTTTTTTTTTTGTTGTCAAAAAAGTGTTTTGAGTTTGTCTTCAAAAGGATTAAGAAATCGATACTAGAATTCGGAGATATTGGAATTGGAATAAGTTTGGCAGCGAATCACCAAATCTTGATCAGAGCAGGCTGGCATATGCAAAACGTGAATACCCCCGAAGCTACGAGTAGGACGCATGGTTGTCATGCCGGCCGGCGTGTCACTGGTTGAATCTGGTTCAATCTGTATCGGTCATAAAACCGGTATGACACCACCGGTATGACCGGCATGATCGATATACGAATCTCTAAGTAAAATGATCTTATATTAGTGAATTTATTTGATAAAAAGTAATTTATTATTTATTTTATGTGTTAAAAAGTTAAATGTTGATGTTATTTGTTGGATTCAAGTACAAATATTTAGGTATTGACGTTAAATGTCGTGCTTAAATATGAGTATTTGTAATATTAACCGGCACAAACCGGTATGTATCACCGGTCGAACCATTCCACTTGCTAAACCGGCACACTGGCACAAACCGGTTTGACAACCTTGGTAGGACGTCTAGTAGGGAGATCAAATCTTGAGTGAAATAAATACCACAACTTCTATCTTTTTCAACAAAATCATCACGCAGTACGTAAACAAAGATCAAAGTGCATTTACTATCCTATTATTTGATTGACCATTCCTTTATATTTGGAATGGGTGGAGAGTCAAGTGTTTTGGCAATTCGTCCCCCCTGCAGAGGAATCAAGAGCATTTTGAATCATAGTTCTAGATTTTGGTTCATCGTCCCTTGTTGTAATAATATCTCGGGGTTTGCAGCCATACGGCAGGTCTCTTTGTATGTGTTTTCCGGAAAGAGGAGGACTCCACGATTATTCGTTCGCCGGAACCAGAAGTCAAAATTTCGGTAGATAGAGATCCGTTCAAAAAAACTTCTTTGTACTGAAAAGTAAGCAGAGTAGGTTATTTTATGTGTTGAAATCGTCATTTAATCGTGGTTCAGTCATTTTATACCTCTAAAAATAATTTTGACTCGAGTAGGAGATTTTTTACGAGTCGGGTATGATACAATTTCACGAAATCCACTTTGGTTAATATTTACTGCAGTGACATTGTTGTTCTTTGGGGTTGCTGATACTGAAAGAAGCTAAGCTAGCTAGGTCATTCCCAGAAGACCAAAAATTAAAGTGATGATTGATGCTTTTTGGGTAATTACTCCTTTGGTTTGGGCTTTATGGGTGCGAAAGCTAGGTTGAAAGGCTCCACTGGAAGCGATGATGAGGGCCGGAGACATTCATTCATTTGTTTCGATATATGATCGGCAAGTGATAGCGAAACAATTAGAAAGTGCGTCTGTATACAAGCGGGTGTGACACATGACATGATTATTATTTCGTAAAAAAGCTTATTGAGAAGCAGCAAAGGGAAAAGCAACGAGAAGGATGAAAGTAGAAATGTTTGTTTTAATTTGGCGTTGGATCCCCAGACAAGGATAGTGGGCTGTTTGGTTTCGGACTGACGAGGACGAGGAGCAAAAGGTTAAGCAGCAACAATACAACACACAAACGCCAAACAAACCTACATATCTCCCTATCTCTCTCATGTATTCAGTACTCTTGATGATAATATCTACTACTGTATATATATTGCTTTTTCTTCTGTTCCATTTGAACCTGTATGTCGATATCAAAGAGAAGCCCAAGGGGAATTAAGGGAATAAAAATGAAATTATAACCACTTGCATTGACTGCTTGTTTGACTGATCAGTGATCATCATCATCATCATCTTTTGTGGGAAGAAGAAGGTTTTGAGTGAAATAATTGCGCCTGAAAATGAATGTCCTTTTGTTCCTTTCGAGAGCTTGAAACATAACGAAGTGGAAGGAAGGTCAACTGGGTATATATTTTTATGGACGCTAAGTTTGATGGACGACACACATGTACGAATAGAGATTTTTGCACGAAACATGGGATGTTATTAGGGAATTAAATCGATTCATTATTATTACTCTCTCATATTATAATGTGGCCAAACCCTAGTGATGATCTTTAATTAATTACTAGAAAGGAACATTCGTATTGTTCACAATAGCAAATGAACGCTCGGATCGATTCTTGTTGACTAGTGCACTCTTTCGCTTACAAATCCAACCAGTCATGCCAATTCCTAACGGTCCAAGGTTTTGGATATGTGGCGTACGTATTTGACAACTACTGCTGTCGCCCATTTTTACTAATTAAATCACTACTGTACCTGTGAATTGAACAAAGCAAATAAACAAGGCAACATTATATTAATTAAGTTTGTCTTCATCAGCTTGGACCAAATAACCTCAAATAATGTTGATGTACATAGATACTGCACCAGGAGTAACGTACGTACAACTAATTGCTTTCAAACAGACAACAAACCTCAAATGATCCTGACGGATCGATGTGATGAGGAAGCAATATAAGACATATCGTTGTTACGTGGCTACTGTGTGGACCTCGTTTGCCGGTGGCCGATCGTGCACTATTTTAGGGCGTGGAAATTTCTAGCAAGTTACTGTACATTCATATATATATATATATATATATATATGTTGGGTTATGTGGATTGTCTTTGGCCTTATATTTTCATTCTTATCATGTTATATTTTGATACAAGAATCGCCTTGAAATTATAATCTTGTGGTTCATAACCATCTTGCTAAATCGCTTGACAATGTTAGCGATTCTGCCATAGCTCGCTGAAGAGTTAAACTAAATTTCAGTAGATTTGAAATATATTAGTACCACTGTGGTATTTACTCTTCTAGGATGATCATGCACTGATCGTTGATTCCCCCCCCCCCCCCCCCCCCCACCCCAATACACCACTTCAAACAAAAATTCACAAAATTAAATACATGAGTTTTGAGTTAGATCGCTGGAGAGTTGAGCGATCTAGGATGTACATCGTTGAATATTGCTTCTAGCTAGGTAACACGACGAAGATCGTCACGAAGAGCGGAAATTTCGAAACAATAATAGACATCAATCAAATTATTCATTCATTCATCCACAATCAGACATGTGATGATAAAAAAAAACGAAGGTACAAAAGCAAACAAATGGAGATGGGAATAATGGATGGGTGCTCTGATAGACAGAAAGAGTACTGAGATTGCAGGTTATTGCGGAATTACCAAACTTTCCCCTCTGCCTTCCTTCCTTCCTTTCTACTACGACGTACATATACAGATCATATGTACGTAAATGTCCTTCCTTCAGCTTTCACCACTTAGTTTTTTTTCCCCCCTTCTCTTCTACATGTTTCCACACCACATATCATCAACTCCTTGATTTAATTTATTGAAAGAACCAAAATTCGGTACCCAAATCTGGGGGCAAAAAAAAAAGCCTGACTGACGACTTCACCACTGTCACATGAAAGCAAACCACAGCATATACGAACAGGTTGACAAAGAAAGAAATCAATTAGGTTTGAATTTTTGCCTGCAAGATTGGCAAGTGATCTCCATGCACGTGGCGGCGGCGGCGGCGGCAGGGTAGTGATGATGAGCGGCGGCGGAGGCGGAGGCAGCAGCAGATTGCTCCTTGAGGCGGTGGGCCTTGTCGACCTCCTCCCTCGCACGCTGCCACAGTTGGCGGGCACGTGCGAACTCGGACTGGGCCAGCTCCATCTCCCTCCGGCTCAGCTCCCTCACCCGCTCCGCGTACGCCTTCTCCAGCGCCGCCACCCGCATCTGCTCCGCCGCCTGCCACCTCAGCGCCTCCACCTGATCCCCAGTGCCTCCACCGCCGCCGCTTGCCCCCGCGGCGACGGCTCGACTTTGTTTGCTGCTCCCCCCGTGGAAGGGCCTCACGCTGATTGACAGCTGCAGGTCCAGCGACGGAGCTGGGCCCGATCCCAACTGCTGATTCGGATGATCGGAGTCGATCTTGGACGACGACGACGATGAGGATCGGTACCGGAAGGTGAATGATTCCGACGGCAGGGAAGGAGGAGGAGGAGGAGGAGGGCTTTGAGGGAGGAGCTGGAGCTCCTTTTGGTGGCGGCTTTCTTCCATAGATGGGATGCGATGGAATGGAATGGAACTAATTAATATTTATTTAAGTGAAGAGCAGACCATAGAATGGGAAGTTAAGTATGGGAGAAAGAGATAGAAGAGAGGCATAGGGCGGAGAGGATGGAAAAGAGAGAACCGGCATAGGAGCGAATGTGGGGCTATATATACAATACAGACATGTGATGTGAATCCACGTACGTACGACTACGCCCCCGTTGGGATATTGGATTTTTTTTTTTTTTTTACAAAAGATAATCATATATTGATTGAACAAAAAGATCGTTACATCCTGGAATTTAGCCAGGTCTGAAAATCAAATAAACAACATGTAAGACTAACTCCAACCCAAAAAGCTATATTTAGCCTCCCAAGCTCTCAAATGTGCATATTTGCCTCCCCAAAACACCTTTTTGCTCCAACCCTAAACCTTCTAAATTTGCCTTCCCAACTCATAACCAACCAATCAAAAATTAAGAAAGTTAAAAAAAAAAAGAAAAAGAAGATGTTGGAAAGTGGAGGGGCCCAGCGTGTGGGCTTGTGTTCCATGGTTGGTCCCCCACCTTCTCCTTGCATATCTCCATATGAGCTTCTATCTATCCACCCCCAAGCCCACTTCTCCAAATTTGCAAGCCAAATAATTGGTGGGTTGGAGATGAAAAAAGCCAAAAACCTCCATTTCTCCAAATTTGCATGCTTGGGTTGGAGATAGTCTAATCGGGTACAAAGAAATGGTCTTCCTAGCTACCAAATGAGTTACCTTATTATTACGCCGACCTACAAATCGTACACTGACACCTCTATTCATGTAAAAAACATGGACAACTTCTTCGAGGATCGACCCCACTCGATTATCCCGAGTGTCTCTCTGGAGGATCTTCTCTATAATAATCTGGGCATCGCCTTCAAACCTAACTGCAGTGAAACCATTACCCACGCACCATACAATGGGATATTGGAATGCTGAATCCCGCATCTCTCTAAAAATCTCTAGTTCTCTACTGCTACGTTTTTACTTGCCAGAAAAAGACCCTAACTCACCATTATTAACCCCTACTGCTTCTAAAGTGTCGGGAACGGGATCAGTTTCTAGCTATTAGCTGATAGGTTTGAATGGTATGTTTGGTTATTTGGTTTATTAATTTATTTTGTTTTTTGTCACTTTGAATGTTTTTTTTTTTAATTCGTGACTTCAAACCAGTGTTTTTTTTTTTGTTAATTACTTGTTATCTATTTTTGCTAAGTTTGTTTTAAATGACAGTAAACAATAACATTTGATCATTCCATTTTCGTTTTTCTGTTTTCATGTCATAAATTTGGCAACCGAAACGAGAAAACTTGTTTACTTTTCATTCTGTTTTCTATTCGTTTCCAACTATGAAAACATAAAGTGGCAACTTCCTGCTGTTTTCGAAAACGACAAGAATATTGTTTTCACATGTTTTCTAAACGTGCATTGAAGGCTTCTGTTTTCTATTATTAGAATGAGTTTTTATAGTGCAGATCGAGTACAAGGAGAATAACGGTGAAGTGAGTAAAACAAGGAGAGCATCTCTCCACTACTAACAGACTCAAGAGTAGATGAGAAGATTGAGGAGCAGTCTCAACGTCATTATTTTCAACATCTGTTTTCTCAAAAAATAGGAAGCAGAAATGAAAGTAAACAGGCCCTAAGTAGCTGACAAATCAATTAAAAAATAATAACAAAAAAAATAATTATTTTAAAATTTTCACCTCAGCTCAGTGATGCCACTTGTGAGAGCATCACATTAGGGGTGGTCATCCCGTGTAGTATACCAAATCTAACAGACATATGAACTTATCTAGCTGAACTGAAGTCATTGTCGATTCGAAATTCAAATATAATGTTACTGTAGGTCAAATTCCGTTAAGAATTCACCGAACTTCCCATCGAAAAATCCTAATTCTCAAATGGCCGAGAGAAATCGGGAAGAGCCAATATTGGCGTCGTGGTCATGGAAGTCTTCAGTGCGATGAAAGCCTCCTCGGCCCTGGGATTCCATTCGAACCCCCCTTTCTTCAACAGCTTTGCCAGTGGCCCTTCTATAGAACTGTACCCCTACACAAACTTTTGGTAATATCCGATCAACCCGAGAAAGCTTCGCAACTCAGTTACTGTCTGCGGCACTAGCCAGTTCACCATCGTCTGTATCTTACTCGGATCCACTCGCACCCCTCCACCAAAGATGATATGCCCCAAATAGTCCACTTCCTCTACTCCAAAGGAGCACTTGGACGCCTTGATAAAGAACCGGCTCGTCTCCAAAACCTTGAATACCCTCTGCAGCTGCTGCACGTGTGTTTCTCAAGTGGGACTATAAACCAAAATGTCATCAAAGAAAACTAGCACAAACCTTCTTAGAAATGGCCGAGAAATATCGTTCATGGCCGCCTGGAAGGTCAATGGTGCGTTGCAGAGTCCAAATGGCATCACCAAATACTCGTAGTTGGGGCTGGAAGTTTGGTACCGGTATTTGGTAAAAATGAATATCGTACTGAATTTGTCTTATATTTAGTATTACTACCGAATACACATATTATTATTGGGATCGGGATTGAATTTCAATTTTTATTTGGTGTTAGGGATTACGGGATTGGGATCGGTATATACCGAAATATCTATCAATACTAAAATATAAGCTAGTGTGTATTTTATCCTCTCAACTAAATTCTCTCATTAACTACTACACAACCCTCAACCACCAAGAGTGTCATTTAATTATACATAGGTCATTTCATCAATATTTCATAACTTAGAAGTCCTCATTCAACTCAAATTTGACTTTCCAATTTAAGTCACTCTCGTTTCTCACCTAATATCTCTTGTTATTTTCATAACACCAAAAAGAAAACACTAGTATTAGTTGTCTCTCAACCTCCAATTAGTTAAATTAAAAATTACCAATTACAAAAACTTGAGATGTCACATCTCTTCCATTCTCCTTATCCATATCCTAGCTATAGGAAAACTCAAAACTCTTTGCTTAGACCTTAGTCTCTTTGCCCTAAATTAAACAATAAAATCTAATTTATATATTTAATTTTTAATTGCAAAGGTAATTAATTTCGTATTCGATAATATAGATTGGGATACCGAAGTACTGATTGGGATACCGAAATATTTAGAGATTGGGATTGGGAAACCGAAATTATTTAGGGGTTGGGATTGAGTTTAGGGTGTAATTCGGTATTCGGGATTTCGGTATTTGGTATTGGAATACCGATACCGTACCGATTTCCACCTCTATTCGTAGTGGCCACTGTGGGTGCGGAAGGCGGTCTTGTGGACGTCCTCCTCATGCATCCTGATCTGGTGATATCCGGATCTTAGGTCCAGCTTTGTAAAGTGTCGGGCTCCCTGTAGCTCATCCAACATGTCGTCCACAGTCGGAATCGGAAACTGATCCTTGATCGTGGCCTCATTTAGTGCCCGATAGTCCTTGCATAACCTCTAAGTCTCGTCCTTCTTCTTAACCAACAGCACCGGTGAAGAAAAAGGGCTTGAACTCGGTCTGATCAATCCGGACAACCTCTCTTCTACCTGCCTTTCATTTTCTGCCTTCTGGGAGTGTGCATATCGATAGGCCGCACATTGACTGCATCCACTCCCTCCTTTAGTCTGATCCGGTGGTCCACCTGTCGGTTGGGCGGCAGTTGATTCGGCTTATCGAATAGGACCTCAAACTCGTCCAGCAAGGCTTGTAGATCCGATGGCATGTTCGGCTCCTCTGCGCACACCATCGTTCAAAATCGGTGGACCTTAAAATCGTTCAAAATCGGGATTAAAATCGTTAAAATCGTAAAATCGTACGGAAATTAGGATTTTGATCCTATGTGAACAAAATGGGTAGTTTGAGCCAATTCAAAAGAAACTGAACTGTTTCGGTGGAAAAGGCAATGACGGAGATCTTCTCAGATATTTTTCCTAGTAAAAGAACATTTGAAAAGAAAAAAAAACCTAATTAGGGTTCGGTCAACCACTTTCCCTTCCCCTTGTTTAACTCATCGGTAAAAATAGTTGTCATAATTTTGTAAGTACAAAAAAATTAACATCATTATTAACAAATTAATTGATTAATGAATATATTTGTACCAAACCAATGACATTAAAATTCTTATTGGAGTTCACTTATTCTTAGTTTTAAATCGTGTTTAGTAGACGATGTCGGAATACTACTTTGAGTTAAACTACCTAGACACAACATGAAAAACAAGAGCTAAACCCCATGAGCTCTATCCCTTCCTCATAAATTATTTTGAGTTACGCATTAAATAACAATTAAAATGATGATTTTGAAACATTAATCTTGAAAATTATCACTTTAAATGTTATGTGTCTTTGTGTTATTAATGATTTACCTTATTAATATTATTATATGTTAATTTCTATGTGGTACTTAAAATCCTACGATTCTACGATTCGATTTTACGATTCCGATTTTACCCCAATTTTCGATTTTAGATAAAATTCCGATTTTGACTGCTTTAGGTCTAGCCAACAAAGGGTTTGGAAGAGCTGAGCTTCCAATTGTGCAATCCAATCCTCATTTGAGAGTTGTGATGAACTCATACTCGAAACGAGGCTCTGATACCACTAAAAGGAACATATTTGGGAAAGAAATTGGGAAGGAAAAGAGAATTAGGGATTGGGAATTGAGAGGAATAGAGAAATTTGGAAATTAGAGATTTGATAATTATTCTTGTTTAATCTGAAATAAGAAGAGTTTCCACAATATATAGTGCACTCACAAAATAACAAAACACTACCCAACTTCCTCACATCACTCAGCCAACCTCTCCCAACCCGGCTAGGCCATGTTTCTGACACTCAGGAATTTAGGAGTCGTTTGGTAGTTGCGATTGTTTTGTTGAGATTGTTACTATACATGTATTGTTTAGAATGCATCGTTTTTTTGTTTTTTTATCAGAAACAATGCATGGATTGTTTCTGTGATGTGACAGAAACTATCACTCAAAATGAGTGATTGTTATATCTCAACTTTTCGTTGTGATTATTGAGATAGTTGAGTTGAGATTGTTTTATCTCAGCTTTTAGCTGATGTGACATAAACATTCAGACATACCAAACGTTGTATTCTACAATGCATCAAATTCGACAATACATGTATAATATTATACATTTATTCACAACAATACATCCATTTAACAATCACAACTTCCAAACAACCCCTTCCAAACAACCCCTTAGTGTAGATAAATAGCCAAAAAGATATCAAGATCTCTTCTAGAGCCAAATTGGAAAACCAAGGGATCTGTAACTTCAATGAATTAACATTGAGAAGATAGTTATGAATAGAGAGGGGAACTACCATCACTAATCCATATTGTACATTCTACACAGCTAAGGGATGGAGATGGATATAACCATATCAAAGAGACCCTTCCATTCCCCCCACCCCACCCCCCCCCCCCCCCCCCCCCCCCCCCCCCCCACCCCAAAAAAAAACAAAAAACAAAACTCTACTGATACAATATATAATCGCTTTCTCTCCCCAAGACTTATAACTAAACAGAATTCTGGGACTAGATATGCTTGCAGATGTGGATACCTGTACCACAGCAACCGTACAATAGAACCCTTTAATCAAGTCCTTGCAGGTATATCACTTCCAGCAGTCTTGCGATTCAGGTAACGAAGAACAGCATCTTCCACCCTGACAGATTTCAACCACAATCGCAACAAAATACTTGTCAGTACAATTCTACTGGTCTTACCTTCTTTCACAATTTGTAAAGAGAACGATCGTACTGCAAGTTAATCTCATATACTTAACTGTGCAGAGAGAATAAAGAGCACAAAGGGAAGCACATGATACTTACCAAGGCTGATTATAAAACTCCGCCTGTTGTTCTTCTTCTAAGTTGCAATTGCCATCTCCAGCTATAAGCTTTAGATCTTTGGTTTGAGAAGCAATAAACTTATTGATAAACTCTGCCGGAGAGTAACTGAAACCAAGAAAGAAAATACGCCTTCGGCAACGCTCATGTATCTTCTTTATTGAATCGCTTATTATTTTGTCATATGCATCGATCTCTTTCTGTCTCCCTGTGTTCTCCAAGAACTTGGAAATTTCATTTTGCACTGGGAAAGGAACATCAACATCAATGTCATAACAAGCAGTTCCAGCAGGAGAATTCCCTGTTAACTTGATCCTGTGTTCCAAATGAATAGGCTGTAGAGATATTAAATGCTGACTTATCTTCTGGGCCACCATTCCAAACTTTATCTTCTCTTCCCCAAATAATCTTCGCAGTGGTGGATCACATATGATTGAGGCTATGTCGTTACGGTTTTGCAACTTATTTGACTTGACATAATGCCAAATTGCCATCAGGATTCTTGAACGTGTCTCCACTTCAAAACCCAAGACTTCTGCCAATTGAGGCGAAAGCTTGTATTTCTCCGGAGTGTGATTCATTTCTAATCTTATTACCGCAGTGAATTCCTTATTACCTTTTCTCTTCACCTCAAAGCCCTCGTGAAGTTCAGTAGATCGGTTATTCTCCCACAAAACTACTTGCTTCTCTGGATAGAGACATTGGTCTAAGATAATGGTAATTCTCTTGAAGTATGATGAGAATTTTGGGTAAGATTTCTGCACCTCTCCTTCTAGCACAGGATCTTTCCCATCTTCCAGTATCCTGCCGATAATCTTTAATGACCATAAAGGAGGTTCTGCTGTTGCCTTCTCGCCATTGCCTACTCCTTGATCTTCAAAAGTGTTGAAAACATACAATCGAAGTGTTTTCCTTACACGAGGCGGGTTTTTAAGGGCCTCTCTAAGATCTGCCTTCTTCCTTGCCCGAGCATTATCCACCCTGGCCTCGTATTCAAGCAATTGCGCATAGAGTGCAGACTCTGGAAGCTTGGCTGCAACTTCTGCAGGTATCTGCTTCTGAGAAAGCTTTGGCCTCTTCCTATTAGGGGCAGGGGCCAACTCCATCGCCTTATAAAGGGAAGACGAATTAGCATTATTTGATCCCCCAGCTGCCTTAGTAGGAGGTTTATGGCCAGCCCTTTTGGTACTTGCAGTTGCTGGAGTTGACCCAGAAGGCGATGTCAGACCAACATTACCAGAAATGGGACTCTGCAGCTGACCAATAGATTGGCTAGTTGATTGGAGATGAGACTGAATGCGAACTTGTGCAGGCTGCTGCACTGGTGGTTGTGCGTGGGTAAGCAGCTGAGCTTGTGGCTCGGAGAGTTGAAAGTGGCCGTGGAAGGAACCACCTTGTGTTTGAGGTTTCGACTGAGAGAGAAGATGGGGAGGAATCTGGTGAGGCAAGGGGACAGATTGTGCTCCAGAGCCGGAAGTGGCAAACTGGATAGGTGCCCCCACACTCCTAGGCGGATTATTGTTATTCATAATAGCAACACACTAGCGCCCGTCCAAAACCCAGAAGCACACCCACCGAAACAAATTCAACAAATCCCACAACGAAACAACAGAAGCCCCAAACGGAGAGTCACCAAAAGACACCAGTTAAGTAGTTTCCTCTCCCAGGAGCACTTAACAATGATCCATGCACTGCTCTCCGAAAACCCTAGATGCAATTCGAAACCCTGATTCTGATTCTGATTCTCAATCACAAATTCAATTGCCAAGAAGCACACAGATAAAGAATCGAGTAGAAGAGATCGAACTGAAACAACGCCTTGACTACTTCCCAGCAATTCTTACTCGGAGCGACGAATTCCCCAACAACCGATGCTCACAAAATGCAACCACGAAAGCGTACCAGAACGAAGGAGATTATTCGGAAATTGGCTCATGTCACCGCCCACCGGGAAGCCTGGCTGGAAGTGTATTGAGGAGGCCTTCTCAGTTCTTCACTCTGTATGTAACACTGCAAGTTTCAAATTCTGTGGCTCGGATCGGTCCTTGGAGCCAAACCTTATTAGTTTCTCTAAAATTTTCTTTTTCTTTTTGCCCTTTTTCGGTTTTCGCTCCTACTTTCGAGTTTCGCCTATTCCATTTTACTTATCCCGTGGATTCTTATTTATTTCGCACGAGTCTAATTTACGTAAACACCCCTGGCTTAATCTCCTTTCTTGATCCCTGGATGTCTTCTGGGCTGTTAATTGACGAGTCCATATTTGGCAAAGCAAATTTATAATTCAATTTGGGCTCATTTAAATTAAAGGACTGAAATGGGTTTTAGTAGGAAGCAGGCGCATCTTACAGAAAATGAGAAATATGAGCCCTAGATGCGACTATGGTTTTTTTAGTGCCAATTGATCGGATGTGTGTTTTGATTGTTAATTTAGACGATTAATATTATTGACTAACAGTCAACAATCCAGCTAACTGTCATATTAGCAGAAAATTTGAAAAATTTCAAATTACAAATCATTTTCTTATTTCATTTATCTGATAAAATAATAAATCAAGCAAAAATTAAATTCAGCCCCGAGTTGCGCTTATGCTCTCTGCCCAGACCAGCGCCGGCCTTCATGCTCCTCCTCTCCGCAAGAACAAGCCCAGCAGGATCGCGGTCGCCGCATCTATACCATTGCCAAAACCTCTTCTCCCGAGACTATCACTCTCCCATCAAATTAACACCCCAAAGCCCAGGGTTATGGTTTTGGCTTCGCTATCCATCCAATCCTTGCCAATCCCCACGTTGTCTCCTCCATCTGCTTCCCAACTCACGCTCACTGCATCTATATTCCAGATTTCGTCAAGCAACGAGTGGGGATCGAAGGTCGTGATGGATGACTATGGATAAGTTGGGGGGAGGGAGTTCCCCTGTTCCCAGCGACCCTAGAAAATAGCCACTATGTTTGCGAAATACCCTGTCATCGGGAGCCTTGTTGTTGCCGTCGACTGCTCCAAACGGCGTCGCTTCTATTGGATTTGACCCTATGGATAATTTGGTTAATTGTGAATTCGAGCTTCACAAAGTGAAGAATTTGTGATTGTTTGATTTCTGATGGGCGTGTTTGCAGGGATGGAGCCAGCGTGTGTTTAGGAGGGGCCATGGCCCCCCTAAGATCCTAGAAAACTTCTAAAACGTAAAAATGTTATATTTAGTCTTTGGTGGCAAAATGGTTATGAGTCCAAACCGACATAATTTAATGCTGGAGGTATTGAGTTTGAACCCTGCCTCTGTTTTATTTTTGTGCTTAATTTAATTTTAACCCGGCCTCCGTATTGTTAAGCTTAATAATTAGATTAATTCTCCATGCCTTCCAATTACGGTTGGAAATGAATGAATAGCTTTGAAAACTATAGAGTCTCAAGTGGAAAAACTACCACATTAATAGTTTTACTTGGTGAAATGTGTATAAAGATAGCAGCCTCTCTCCTAAGGGCATGCCCCTTGGGGTGACCCACTTTTGTGGGAGATGGAGGACCTAACGGACCACCACACACAAACGCGCGCGCCCGGTCGGTTGGTTGGTTAGTTCATTTGAGACTATATATTTTTGGGAGAAATTCCGAACGAAATTAATTATCTAATAATTAATTATTAATCGGTTATTCTGAGGAATATTCTAAGGATAATCGATTAAAAAGAAATATTCGAAGGATAATCCCGAAGGATTTATCTTAACCGACGGTTTTTAATTAGGTTAACATCCTAGTCTTGATTTACCCTGACAATTTTGATGTATTCAGTTGCTACCCACTTATGTCTATCCATACGAATCCGAAGTGAATGAGGACAACTATGCTCTATTTCCACCCCATTCACCATAAATGCTTCATGTTTGTGAAACCAACTGCCATAGACTCTCCACCCACTCGAATACTATTTCTTTTGGGCACACACAACTTCCTTCCTTGTGTGAATGCTCTTGATCCATATGATATTAGCACCAATCTCAATTAAGTGCTTCATTACAACTTTAAACTGATCTGGAGTAAAGAAGCGCATATGTGTGGTGAACATCAATGTTTTATGATCACACTTTGGATCATAAAACTGGCTTTTATCAAATGTTGTGGAGTTTCATCTTCGCCTATATTCCCTCTAGCATGAGTTGAGTCTTCCGAGCCCCTATACTCGATTTCAATCAAACCTTTACCATTGACATCATCCTCCATGATTTTAGTTACCTCATTGCGTCCCACACTTGCGCTCTCTTCATTCTCAACTTCTATATTCATGTTGCAATCCTCGACAAAGATTTGATCCACCTCGTCTCCCGATCCGTCAAACGATGCTCTAAAATTTTGTCTCTTGTTTCGCATATCGGCCCTAATTGCATGATACTCCTCAACAAATGTTAGGGCATCATCATCTTTAGCTAAAATAACAACCTCTGGTACACACAGAGTTTTCACCTTCGTCATCTAAGCATGGTCATACCCATAATTTCTCCCATAAATTACACCTCACCAAGATCTGTGGTTACCTAAAAGTACACTCTCAAATCTCCTTTGTCGATGTCTTCACGTAATGCATTTATTACCTCCACATCTGAGTGTATTTCATGCAATACTTTAGTCATGCTTTCCCTCAAGGTCAAGTACCAAATCCTTTCAACTGATAGATATTCCAAAGTATGAACCATTTTTTTGTCAAAATCTCATTGGAATTAACAAGACCACAAAGATTACACAGTTCACGTTGAGTCTCGAAAGCCAATTGTGAAAATAAAAACCATTAACACTCGCAAGAAACAAAGAAGGTGTCTTCCTATCTACCAAATGGACTACCCTATTGCTAGAAATACCTATAAATCATAACTGTACCGTAGGAAAATCTCGTCAGCTGCTCAATCTCTGACAACACTACACTACCCTTCCCGTCTCTAACTCATCAATCAACAGCCTTGTCAAAAATCACCTTGGCATCACCTTCTAAAGTCACCTCCGCTAATCCCAGCCGCACACACAAACAAAAAACATATCTTAATGCCATGAGCTCAGGAAGAAACAGTTCCACCAAACCTTTATAGCTAACACATCATGCCAACAACATAGTACTCCAACATCATTAATAACCATACCACCTGCAAAATGAAATTATGCACAACCGCTCCATCGACAGAGCAAATGAACTAACCTAAATCAACCAAAGCAGACCCTCCACTATCTCTCTAATTCGCCTGTACCGTCACACTAGAAAGTGGTCAAGTGTAACCACCTGCTAATGCGTAGTATAGCGGGTTTCGCTTTAATTGTCAACCCGGGTCCTAGATGTGATGACTACTCCATGAAGTTCTTGTTATCTAGCGGTTTAACTGTAGTGAGATTATAACTAAACTAAACAAACACAAGGCAGTAAAGGTTGTGATTCAAGTTTGAGAGAGGTCACCTAGATATGGTTCCCCCTATATTGCAGCTAAGTCAGGTTATAATTCACCAAGTCCATATTTCATGAAAATTATACTGTGGAAGGTTCTTATTCAATATGAAGTCTCGACTAAAGGTCTCCAAACCCTCTCAATCTGAATACCCGGCGGGCGACTAACCTCCACCGGAGTAAACAAACTGAGGCCCTAACGTGCAAAACCTCCTCTACTAGAGTAAATCCAATACAGAGTAGTGAATTGACTCCTCGACTAAAGTAGTCAATTCACCACCTTCAATTAAGAGTGCTCTATCAACCTAGGCAGATATTCTCTTTCTAGGTCAAAGCAGGAACTACCAGAATTTGATCAAGATTCAAGTAATTCAGAAAAATCATGCCTCAATTGAATATAATTAATGTCGAAAGACCACACGACCATGTAAAATCCTGGTCTGCCAGTGTAAAACCAAAACGCCACGTTCCATTTAGTTTTCCGTAGACTCTACACGGCCAGCGCACGGTCGTGTAAAGTGGCCACTTGCCCGTGTAGATCTCTGATATCCCACACAACTAGAGGCGCCCTTGCACGACTCGTACAACATCTAGTCGCGTAAATCCAGTCACACGACCACACTGCACGACCGTGTGAAATGAACTCTTGGTCATGTAAATGCCTCGGCTTCCTGTCGTATGACCTAACTTCATCCCATCAACTCCGAACTTGTGCCCAAACCTTCATTCACGTACTAGCAATGTAGTCAAAAGCGAGTTTCTATGTAAAAACATTTTGGTGATCTAGAAGCGTAAAATCGTAAGTTTTTAAGTTTTAAAGCGGAGTTTTTAACTACACAAGCTATAAAAACTGAGATTTTGTGTAAAAGCGTTTTAGTGACCTACAAAAGTAAAATTGTTAAGTTTTTAAGTTTTAAAGCGCGATTTTGGCTGCGTACTAGGACCTGAAATATCACTAACAAGAGCAACCTAGCGTGAAATCGGTTTAAAACACAGGAAATGAGCCTCAAACAGTATAAGAATGGTGTACAAAATATGTGCAAATATTGAGTCATCAATCTCCAAATAGGTTGGAACCCTTAGCATGCAGACATTTCTAATCGGCATACCCTGCCATTCATTATCCTGAGCATAATATTGTCACATCAATTTACCCATCATCACCTGCGTCATTTCGTGAACCACCTAGTTTTGAGCTTTCCATACCCTCCACATTAGAGCAACCACCCGCAAAATCATTTTAGCGGAACCATCCTCTCGACCAATTGCCTAAAGGACAACCCCTAGTTATAGATATCACCGCTTTCCGGGTCCGCCTCTAGCCTAGCCAAATTCCACTAAGAAACAGCAACCGAACACTCCAAAAACAAATGCTTCAAAGTCTATGAATCCGCTCATCATACACTCTCTGTATGTCCTAGCCTACCTCAATGGGCTAAATTGCAAGTTTGGTCACTCGAATTGCTACAAAATTTCACGTTTGGTCACTCGAATTTGTTTATTCCATTCGTAGTAACTTAAATTAGTTGAATAGTCCAAGTTTGGTCACTCTCCGTTAACCTCCGTCAGACTCCGTTAGTGCCGTCGGTTAACTGCTGACGTGGCTAACAGAGATGCCTAGTCACCCAATTTTAACCCAAGAAAAAACAGAAATTGACCCGCCACGTCAGAAAAACATGCCACCTCATATAAACACAACCCAACCTAAAAAAATCATTAACCCACCTAGAAATCGAACCCGTGACCCATCCACCCTTCTTCTTCTTCCTCTATACCCTACTTCCGCCGCCGCCGGGGAACCAAAAAAGCCGGTTCTTCGCCATGGTAAAACAGAGGAATTCCCCAAGAAAGACGTGAAGCCGAGCAGGTGGTTGGGAATTAATGGCGTTACGCCTATTATCGCCAACGTCTTCCATCACAACAATCACCTCCCTCAACGCCATCCTGAAACTCGCCCCTCACTCCTCATCTCTATCTCGTCACAATTACAAATGCCAAACTCCACGAAATGGAAGAGGATTCATCAACTGCAAGGCCGTCCCTGGAGAGTTGAAGACTCCGACGTCCGAGAGGTAATTAAAGCTTCCAAACCCCACTTCGCACTTTCCTCTGTATTTAATTGGGTCGTCCTTCAATTTCCTTACTTTTGCCGAATTTGGGGACTTTCAGGTCGTGTTGTACAGGGCGGGACTAGTGACGGCAGCTACGTCGTTCGTGGCTGCTGCATCGACGACGTTTCTGCCGGGCGATTCTTCTCTGTTGAGCTCAGCAATCGAACAAAACCTCGACGTTCTTAACAGCGTGGGAGCTGGTAGGCTGGGAAGCAGGGTATAAAGGAAGAAGAAGAAGAAGGGTGGATGGGTCACGGGTTCGATTTCTGTGTGGGTTAATGGTTTTTTTTTAGGTTGGGTGGGTTGGGTTGTGTTTATATGAGGTGGCAGGTCAATTTCTGTTTTTTCTTGGGTTAAAATTGGGTGACTAGGCATCTCTGTTAGCCACGTCAGCAGTTAACTGACGACACTAATGGAGTCTGACGGAGGTTAACGGAGAGTGACCGAACTTGGACTATTCAACTAATTTAAGTGACTATGAATGGAATAAACGAATTCGAGTGACCAAACGTGAAATTTTGTAGCAATTCGAGTGACCAAACTTACAATTTAGCCTACCTCAATGACAAAACACTGAAAGTCTTTCATAAACCAGACTAACCCAAGACACCCACTAAAGCATTACTTGCAAACAACTGGGATCTTAGAGGTTACAGAACATTCAATTAGCATGCGTCTTCACAAATGGCCTTGCTCCCCACGGAACCCAAACAAACTTGGATCTATAACTTCCCCATTTTTTGCTTCTGCCACCCGACGTCCGAAAGTAGTAGTTCTACAATGTGAGGGAATTCCCTACAATTAGATCCAGAATGACACTCGAATAAAGGACTTCACCAGCTTCGGCATCACCAGTGCCCATGACTGCAGGTGAAGAACTCTTTCTTTTCACATTCCATGGATTACAATGGAGAGCCGTCCGGTCTCCCTATCATTTTCATCAGCAAAATGGAACTGAATGAGTCCCCATTTCATTTTCAGCACCGTGATTTGGCATGCACAATTCCATGCCCCCACCTATCGCTTTGTGAGTTACCCCAAAGCTTGGAGGGTTACTTGAGGCTGCTCAAACGTCACGTCGACGTCCACAACTGCAGGTCTGCAGCAACAGCTCGCAACTCCCGATGTACCTTTGCTTACTGCATGCGGACTTGGCCTTTTTTTGCAAATATTTTAAAAAAACGACTTAAAAACGAAGAAGATACCATATGGTATGGAGTTGGTACCGAGAAGTATGAAAAATTTTCCTAAAAAATTATTGAAAATAAATTTCATTTAACGAACTGGTTCATGTATAAAAAAAAAATTTAAATCCAAGTTAGAATGAAAAAATAAGAGTCTATTAGAAAAAATATAAAAAATAAAATGTTTATAATTCCCAATTTAAATCTAAATTTTCTGGGCCCGTTAAAAACTAAGACCCACTAAAAACTAAGGGTTACTCACCTGATTTGGACCATAATCGTGGGCCACATTCTTCCAAGATATACATCTAATCTACAATTCTACATTTTACCTACTACTACACACCAAGGCCAGGCCCAGGTCCGGCTGGATTCAAAGCGTGTACCGGACGGAGACGTTGTCATTAAACAATAATATAGTAATAATAATAATAATTAAATACAATAAACCCGAAAACTCACGTCACCGAAAAGTCAGCCTTGGGCCTCTCTTTTCTTTTTCCTCCAATTTGTTTAATTTCCCTTCGCCCAATATTCATTCGCTCCTCAGTCCTCCCTTTCGTCTTTCATTTTCTTTCCATGCTTCGCCCTTCGGCCGTCCCATTCCCGTAGAACAGTGTACAACAAGGTTGTCAAACCGGTTTAAGTCATTGAGCCGGCAAGCAAGGGGTTTGAGGTTTAATGGTCTGATCGGGGTCCGGCCGGTTTGAGCCGTTTTAGACGTTTTCTAAATATATATACAAATAAAGTAGTAATTAAAAATTTAATGAGTGAAATAAAATTTATCTTGCATATATCTATTAAAAACTTATTTTCAACAAAATAAATCTACCTAACCTCCATGATCCACCTACCATTTCCCTTCCTTCGTTCTTTTTCCTCTCTTCTGCCTCTCTTCTTCTCCCTGTTTAGGGGTCAGGCCGGGGGGTTTTCTGGAAGTCATTTTGAAGCCCGACTCGAGTTAAACCGGGTCCAACCGGGGGGTTCGATAGGGGTTTAACAACCTTGGTGTACAACTAATAAAACACACCTTCCTTCATCCGCACCCGACAATCAATTTACCAACACCAACACCAACACCAAAAACAAAAACAAAAAAGGAAAACAAAAGAGACTTTTCACTCACTCTCTCTTCTCCAGCCGGCTCTCCAGTTCTTCGCTCCACAACAGAACAACCCAGCGGAGATATGATCCATCCGCATCCGCCATCTACGCCACCGCGATTCTGATCCCTCCTCCTTCGATTTCTCTCCCTCTCCTTCCGATTACTCACCCGCAGGATATTCTCTCTTCTATTCCCTCCATCGCAAACCCTAAGATTCCAGAGGAAGAGGTGAACGAGACCGGCCCCGGCGCCGCTCACTTCCAGATGGCGACCACCACCACTACCAGCCTCGGCGGCGGCGGGGGCGACGATCGGGTCATGGCCACGGCGCAGCAGATCGTCAAGAGCCTCAACACGCCGGCCAACGTCAGGGAAGACATGCTCCTCATCTTCTCCAGCTTCGACAACCGCCTCTCCAACATCACCGATTTGGTCAACGACGACGACCGCAAGGCCCGCTCCAAGCTCGACGCCGCCGAGCAAGTCATTATGCGCTGGGATTCGTCTCAAACCGCTCTTCCCTCCTGGTGCGACTGCCCCGAGGACGCCGTCGACTACTTGACTGCCGTCGACGAGGTCCTCGACCTGCTCGACGACCTCTCCTTTAAGGATGCCAGCATCGAGGCCGTGGACCGGGCCGAGACCGCCGTCCAGGTTGCTATGACGAGGCTGGAGGAAGAGTTTCGCCACATCCTCACCAGGAACACTGTCCCGCTCGATGCCGAGAGGCTGTACGGGTCCATTCGTAGGGTCTCTGTCTCGTTTGTGGGTAACGAGGGGGAGATCATCGACGACGAATTCGAGAGTTTCGGTGAGGTAGATAGTGCTCGTGGGAGCGGCTATTTCCACGAGCGCGGGGCTAGTTTGGGCGATGATATTTGTGTGGATTTGATCAACCCTGATGCCGTTGGGGAGCTGAGGGAGATCGCTGATCGAATGATCCGTTCTGGGTACGAGAAAGAGTGTGTTCAGGTTTACTGTAGTGTCAGGAGGGAGGCTCTGGACGAGTGTTTGGCTATCTTGGGAGCTGAGAAGCTTAGCATAGAAGAGGTTCAGAGGATTGAATGGAAAATTTTGGATGAGAAGATGAAGAAATGGGTGCAGGCTGTTAAGATTGGAGTTAGGGTTCTTCTCTCTGGGGAGAAGAGGCTGTGTGATCAGATATTCGGGACCTCCGATTCAGCTAGGGAGATTTGTTTCAATGAGAATGCTAAAGGGTGTATAATGCAGCTGCTAAATTTTGGGGAGGCGGTGGCCATTGGTAGGAGATCATCAGAGAAACTCTTTAGGATCTTGGATATGTATGATGTACTGAGAGTTGTTATTCCAGACTTGGAGATGATGGTAACAGATGATTTCCTGTGTGGTGAGGCAAAGGGAGTTCTCTCTGGACTTGGAGAAGCTGCTAAAGGAACTTTCTCAGAGTTCGAGAGCGCCGTGCAGAACGAGAGTTCCAGGAGGCCTATGGTTAGTGGGGAGATTCATCCCCTTACACGGTATGTGATGAACTATGTGAAATTAGTAGTGGACTATAGCCAGACATTGAATTCCCTCTTGACGGTGAGTGATGAGGATGAATCTAGTGGTGGCTCGGGTTCACATACTGATGACGGTGAGGAGAATGCAACTCCTATATCAAGGAGGGTTTTGGCCCTATTGGCAAACCTAGAGTCAAATCTCGAGGAGAAGTCTAAGTTATACGAGGATGGTGCTATGCACTACATATTCCTGATGAATAACATTCTGTACATGGTGCAGAAAGTAAAAGACTCGGAACTCATTAAGGTGGTGGGAGATCAGTGGGTTCGAAAACGCCGGGGAAAGATACGTCAATATGCTACCTCTTATCTTAGGGCTGCTTGGAGTAGGGCTTTGTCATGTTTGAAGGATGAAGGGATTGGTGGAAGCTCGGGGAGTGCATCGAGAGTGGTTTTGAAAGAAAGGTTTAAGAGTTTCAATGCATGCTTTGAAGATATATACAGGGTTCAGACAGGATGGAAGGTCCCAGATCCTCAGCTTCGCGAAGAGCTAAGAATCTCTATATCTGAAAAAGTGATACCTGCTTACCGGGCGTTTATGGGACGGTTTGGAAGCCATCTAGAGAGCGGGAAGCATTCAGGGAAGTACATAAAGTTCACACCAGACGATCTGGAGAATTATGTGCCTGATCTATTTGAAGGGACACCTCTTGTTATTCACCACTTGAGAAGGAAGAGTTAGTAGGATGGATAGACTGGGTGGCTCGGGTAACAGGTATCAATCACTTGCTTGCTTAAGACTTAGAAGAAGGAACGGAGTTCCTCGTTTCGAATGTATGCGCGATATATGGTTTTTTTTTCTTTTCTTTTTCGTTTTGTTTATTAGTTGTTGGTTATTGTCAATGCTTGAGTAGAGAAACAAACAGATGCTCCCTGAAAGTCGAAACAGTCTTTGAATGCTGTATTTTAAGTTTGTTGTACATTTAATATAGACTCTTAAGTATCCATTCTCATTTTTGCCAATACTGCAGCTGGTTCTTAGTCACGAATGAAGCTCAGTGGTTTGAGTGCGTATGTGAATCCAAGTTAACAGATTCGTCTCAATAAACGATGCTGTGCCATTGGCGAAGTGTGTTTCTCTTGTCATGTCAACATAACCCACCCCTAAAGACTGAAGTTTTGCAGTTGAGAATTATGTTAGAACTGTAAACATCGTGCAGGTTTGATAAGTTAGTTCTCGTTCTGTGTGTGTGTGTGTCGATAAGGTATACCTTGCATACGTGAATAAGATCCAGTCATAGATACGGTAGATTCTTTGTTGTTCTTCTTTCGTGTTAGTAGCCACTGGATCATTGTGGCATATCCTTCCTCTGTTTAGGCAGGGCCTATTAGTGAAGTGTTGTGTTTATTAGGGTGCTGCTGTGTTTGCCTGATAATGTTATCAGTGTTGAGACGGGATTTTGTTTGTCCATCTTAAACCAGAGGCAGCTAACCCGGATACAAACCAAACCACATGCGCATTGCGCGGTTGCGGCCAAGGCTAACAGAGCAGTAGCCTTGCTCATCCGGATACTAGTTGTGTGTGCCTGCGTCCATTTCAACTTTTTCTTCGTCGTTGAGGAAGGTCGTGAATGGGCGGGCAGGAAGGAGGGGACTGGAAGAAGTGCAAATTGGAATCACCGTGGAGGAAGGAGGGTTTTGTCTGTTCGCTCACCTGAGTTCCCATAAGACAAGGCTCGGGTCTGGGCGACAACATAAAGACTTTTTCCCCTTTGGAATAATCGCCAACATCTCAGTTCTATTCCCTCTCTGGAATCATTTTGGCCAGCCAAGCCAGTCTTCGATCCATTGTGGAAAGTTTTCCTCCACAACTTGTTCGTGCTTTTGAGCAATCCGCAGCAGCCTGCAACTCTGTTGCTCGATGCGCAAGCTAAGACAAGAATAGTATCGACGTTGGAGCAGAAACCCACAGCATTGCTTGGCTGCTATGGGATGGATGGAAGGATTCTTTTCTGAAACAACGCATGTATGCAGATGCTGCCTATATGTTGCTTCTGTCCGCCCCAATCCAATCCCACCATCAAGATGCGATTCTACATCATTCTCAACAACAACAACAGCAGCAGCAGCAACAACAACAACAACAAAAGATGTGACTCAGGAGATTGATCAATCGATGTTCAAGTACTTGAATCCAAATCGAGCGCAAATCCTCAAACCCAGAAAAGCACCACTCTAGATCACCGGAGATGTTGCAACTTCCAATCAGCAGTTCTGAATTCTGATTATTCGCTGTTCATACAACAGGGGCGGGGAGCCACCACCACATACTTACCATACAGTTTTCATGACAAAGGGTAAATAAAACTCAACCAGTCAAGAAAGAGTTCTGGGAACTACTTACAGGAGAACCGACCTATATTGCTACAATCATTGAGTGATTGAGAGGGTTGGTTAACAAACCAACAAGCACAGTTGGAAGTGTGAGCTGACCTGACCTGGCCACCAGAAGCATGAACAACAAACAACTTTTGAGTTGCTGCCTCAGACTCTACTGTTAGCAGGGAGAGGCAGAACTCCGTCAAAGAAATCCCCAAAGTATCCACGGGGTTCGTGTACAAGCCTCGAGATAACGTCTCTCAGGGTGATCACTCCTTCCAGATTCCCGGAATCATCCACAACGTATAACCGGTGGATTTGCTTGGTGTCTAGCTTCATAATCAAGTCTTTAATGTTGTCGCTCCCTTTACATGTTATCATCCCGCTCACAATTGGGGTGTCTTCCTCGTGATCCTTCAGGTAGCTTCTCACCGCCAACAGAAAGTTCTTGGCTGTGATAGATCTGCCACAAATGGGAATAAGATGCAACAAGTTGAGACTACCACGCATCCCATTTATAAATACTCCATTTTTGGTGGTAGTCATAGACGAGCTAGGGACTGAAACCGCACTAGCTCCTGAAGAAGGCACCAAATAGAGTAAGTAGTACACTAATAATCAAGGAACTACCAAAGAGTAAATATGCTGCATGAGAAAAAACAATGATGATGATCGGATGATCAAAGCACAATCGTTGAAGAACTGAACTATGCACCTGAACTCGTGGTAAATCTCTGGCGCATTTAGTAGGAACTGAACATCTCTGAGACTGATGTTGCCAATTGGCTTCTTGCCATCCCCTCCCATAACAGGAACACCACCAATTCTCAATTTCCTCATCAGCTTGAACGCTTGGAGCACTGGTTCATCCTCATATACCTGAGAGGCAGCAAAAAACCATCATCATAGGTAACTGAAGAATGGGATAAAACTGAGACTGCAAAGCGTGGCTATTGGCCAGGCCATGTCTTCCTCGCTTTCTAGAATGCTGTCAGATACCATATATCTCAATCTCAATCTCAAAAGAACAACCACCAGGTACAGAGCCAGTCAAGAAGAAACCTTGATAATCTGATCGCGGGAGACCAGGGGAAGTCCAAGTTCAGAAACCGTCTTGGCTCCCCAACTCTCAAACCAGTGAAGCCCAGCACATTCGTTTAACATGTGAATTACAGCAGATTGCGTGATGATGTTGTCAATCTTGCCATCCCCCAGATCAACAATTGGGATGCTCTTCATTTTGTACTTGGAAAGCAGTAGCAGCATCGTCAAGAAGGAGTTGGACTTCTGCAAAGCCAGGAACGGTGCCCATCGGAATGAGCCCGAGATGTCTCTAACCTGCACCAACATCATTTTTCAAAGTAGATATGGCTTTGATTGGATCCACATCAAGCCAGGGACTAGAAATGATCAAAACAATCCACAACGAACCTTGGTGTTTTTGTAGTATTCCGACGAAGTGAGATCCTCAAAAAAGTCTCCAGACGTTGCTTGAGCATCTTCAGGCCCCAAGATCCCAACTCCAGCAGCATTCGTCAATCCATTCACCGCCAATGCAGCAGAGGTTCCTGAATTTGCACTCCTAGGAGACGGAGGTTCTGACTGTCCAATACCAAAACTTCTTCATTCTCTCGCTCTTAAAGCTCTTAGGATATACAGATTACAGACAGATGCATACATGACCTAACGGAAATCAAATCCTTGACCAAACTCTCACCTGCTGCAAAATCCAAACCACGATTCCGGCAACCTCCACGATTCCGATGTACCTATCCATCCAAGAAGCGTCCTCCGGCGCATCGACGTTCACCACCGGCGCGCTCAGAATCTTGTTCTCCCCCAATATCTTCACCGCCTCTGCCAGCGTCGTATCCGATTTTATCTCAATCACTACACCAAGGAAACACGGTCAAAATTACAAAACAACGACCTGGCCGTACCTTCTCAATCTCAGCACAGGAAGGAATGGGGTAAAAAATTAAAATGATTGATTCCATTTCCAATACCTCGAGAAGAAGAAGCAGGGAACGCAGAGACGGGAATGTTCTCGAAGCAAGCATTGAGCTTCTCGCTAGGACTGAGCTGCGGCTCTTGAACGTCCCACAGATCCTCCACTTTCATCCCGAGCTTGGCTTCGGGACTCCTCGGGCTCTGGCTCTGCCTCTCCACCGCCTCGCTGCTCTCTCTAATCAACTGCAAGCTCGCCATCGCGCCACCGATTCTTTCTTCCGATCAAAGTAATAGTGAACCAAAAGATCTCACGCCGGACCCCCAATCGGAGAGAACTCGCTTTTCATCAACAAGCACGTACGCTTCCCTCCCTATTTTTCTTTCCTGTGTGCGTACTTCTTGCGACAGGATTTTCAAATCGATGTAATTACAAAGACGTCCTTTCCTTTTCTTTTTCTTTTTCCTTTTTTTGTTTCCTAAATGAACAATCAGATCTAGCTATCCACGCGCCTTTGTGCCAGTAGTTTGCGATCATGGGGCGGGATTTTCAAGTGGATGGTGTAGGTGGGGACACGTGGGAGATGAGGTCAATCTAGTGGGAGAGGTGAGTAGTCAACGTTGTTGACGAACGAATCGCTGTCCGGTGAAACAAATCCGGTGGGTCAGCAAAGGGCAATAATGAAATTGCATTATTATTGTTTTACTGTGTGATATTTTTGTTGGGTTAATTCATGGTTGGTTACTGAGATTATAAAAAAATTTCAAGTTTGGTCACTCGAAATATTTAAATCTATTGGTGGTACTTCAGTTTACTGAAATCATTCACGTTTGGTCACTCTTCGTCCAACTCCGTTAACTTTTGCTTACATGGTGGTCAACTTTTAAAGTTGACCATTAAATGTGTGACGTGGCAATTTAAAACTAATAAAATTAAATTTTTTAAAATTACCATCTCATTTCCACATCATTATCACTTTTATTTAAAAATAAATAAAAAACCCAAATTTCTTCTAATCCCAATACCATTCAAACTATTCATAACAGAAGCCTTCCGGTATTCCCCAACCCTCTTCTCAAAAAAATCTGTCTTCCCCTGCAACGAAATCAGTTCCATCCATTCAAACTATTCATAGTTAGGAGACATCGATTCGTCCGGAAAATCCGTCGGAGAAGGAGTGTCGCCGCCACCACGGCCAGTCGGAGGAGCAGCAGAAGCAGCAGGAACAACAGAAGAAGGAGCGACCGGTGGTCGGTGATGGTGAGGATAGTCTCGGTTGATCGAGTAACCAAAACTCGGTTATCCGGTTAGCCGAACTAACCGACCGATATCCGTACGACGCCGTTTCAATGATAGAAAAGTAAAAAAAAAATCCCAGACCCTACCTCTTTGCCGACCTTGCACCCTCACCACTCACCCTCCACTCCCGCCGCCCTTCACCCTCCTAACTCTTCTTCTCACCCTTCACCACCAGTGTCGTCTGCCGTCCACCATCGCCTCGCCGTCTCCCCAACCGCGACCCACTCCCAGCAGACCTCCCAAATCCAGCAACCACCATAGCCTCGCCGTCTCCTCCATAGCTCTCATCTGCCGACCCAAGCCGACCTCCCAAATCCAGCAACCACCGTCGTTGCTGCCCTCCCCTGCCGGCTCTAGCAACCCTCCGCCGATCAACCGCGAAATCGTCGGCGCCTTCGCTTGCTGCCGGCACCCTCGCCCTGACCACGCCCTCTGCCGCACCATCGCCTCGTTTAACTCGCCGGCTCGCCTGCAATCGACCATCTCGTCTGCCATTCCGGTTATCATGGCTAACCGAACCAAATCCAAAAAATCGGCCGGTTGGTGGTCGATTAACCGTCATCTTCTCACGGTCGGTGGTCGGCAGCTTTGGGAGGCGGCTCGGTTTAACCGATAACCGAGAAATCGGTTTTTGGTTAAACTGAAACTGACCGACTTCCACCCCTAGTGGAGACAGCGACATCGAGATCCTATTGTTGGCTCTCGAGAAAGAAAGCGGCTTCCTGCCTGGTGGAGGAGGTGATCTCGTAGAAGGAATCGACTAGAGCGGAATTCGCGTTGTCCTTGAGATCGAGATTCCCGCCGGCGACTTCCATGTTCAGTTTTGAGGGGTTTCGCCGGACCTTTGGGCGTACGATAGGTGTGAGGCGGCGGCTGGGTTAGGGTTAGATATTTTGGGGGGAGTTGGAAGAAGGGAGAAATCAGAAAAGAAGGATTCGGATTTTTTTGAGTTTGTAGTGATTCGATTCCTTGAACCCACCGTATTACATTCTTTTCTTAACGTTTTTCCTTTCACCAACGAACGCAATATACTGGCCCATCAAAGCCCCATTCATCCCTACCAGCGCGCATGGCAGGGTATCACAAACAAACTCCCTCTTGATATCCACCGCATCTCTAACGATTCCCTTCACTTGCTCCTCGCTGGGCTTCACCTTCATCAACCAATACAGCAAGCAGGCAAAATCACAATGAATCCCTTCATCTCGCGAGATGAGCTCGTTGGAGAACGTCAACCCGGGCTTCAATACGCGCTTCTTCAGCAAAAATATCTCGCAGAAGCTACCAGAGAAGACGATCCTTTCAACGTAGGCAAACGCAATCAACCTCTCGGCGAACGATTCCCCGCCGTCGATCCACTTCAAGGCCCACTGAGCATTCTTGGCCACACAAGGCACCATCTCGATGGCGCGGAAGAGGCACGTCGGAGTCCTTAATGTAGGTGATGACTCGATATTTGCACATGTTTTCCCCTTTGTTTCTTGATCGTTTAAGCTTGCATTATTGCTTCTTTGGCCTATTTTACGGTAGGTTGTGTTCCTTTATCACATTTCAGGTCCTAGCACATAAAGTGAAGCGTAGACGCAAGTTTCAAGTCAATCGGAGATCAATTGGCGACTCGGGGGAAGAAACTCGGGTATGACTTGAAGAAGAAGAGATTTCTACCTCAGTTTGTGACCATATAATCATGTAATCTTGTCATGAGAAGAAAGAGGACGAGACTACGAGCGTCTGGGATCAAACGACACATGATTTGGAGTCCGAACGAGGGAGAAACGAAGAATCAAAGATAGGGGAAAATTGGTTTCGGGCTTCTCTGAGAAACAGAAGGGGGCCCTATCGTGAAGCTAAAATCCCCGGTAGGGGATTTTTGGCCTTGATAGGGGATTTTCCCAAAAATCCCGTAGCGTGAACCAAAAATCCCCGGTCGTGAACCAAAATCCCCGGTCTTGACCCAAAAATCCCCTATCGTGAACCAAAAAATCCCCTGTCGTGACCTAAAATACCCTACCGGGTATTTTGACCGGGGATCGCGAACGCAGGCTGTTAAAAGCCTGTTTTGTGCGTTTTTGCAAAGGGAGAGCTGGGTTTTGGATCCCAAACACCCTAGGGACGAACCAAAGAGAGAGAGGGCGATTTGAGGGCATTCTTGGAGTGGAATTGGAGGATTTCTTTGCCTTGGAAGCTCGAGGAACAAGCCCGGACTTGAAGACTGATCATCTAAAGATTCTTAATGCAGTCTCTCTCTTCTCTATGGAGTAACTTCCCTTCACTTAGGTTTTGAGGAACCCTAGCTATGTTTGTTTGATTGGATGATTGTATGATTACTCTGACTTGATAATCTTGAGTTCATATTCAATCTATGCATGTTTTCATGATTCAATTCTGCTTTAGTCAAGATTATTGATTCTGCTTTGTTCCTATGAGAGGGAATACCTGATTAGGTCAATAGAGCAGTAGTGGATCGATTGCTTTAGTCGAGGGTTGATTCACTGCTTTGTATCGATTGAGAACCTCTTTCGATAGAGGAAGTCTAGTTCAGAACGCCTTGATCAGTTGTTCTAGAGAAGGATACGTCCCTCTAGGCAATTGACTCAAGAGGGCCTTGTTCCTTTAGTCGAGACTCAAGGTTTTGTCAAGGATTCTCCGCATTGTGAATGAAAGTGAAACAAGTTAGAAATCATCAATCGTTAGTCTGGCTAGTGGCTAGGGGGAATCATACCTAAGTGAGTTCCCAACCTGTAATTAGATTAACTTTAACTGTAGTTTGCTAGAGTAGTTTTAGTTCTTTCATCTTGATATGGTTTGCTAAATAATAAACTGAAGCTGAGTAATAGTAACTCTAGAGACCCGTGGATTCGATATTTATCACTTGAGCCACTATACTGCAGTCCCTTCCATTGGTTACACTTGGCCATTGTTAGGTGTTGTGTTTGAGCGAATTAAGTTTTTGGCGCCGTTGCCGAGGACTTTCTAGAGTATTAGGAAAGGCAGAAGTTTGTTACTTTAGCGTTTTTCTTTCCTTTCTTTTCCACCCTTGCTTTTCACTTGGGTGTTTTTTGTTTTTGTTGGTGCAGATCTGAATCATGGATCCTCATGGCTTCTCCAACAATTGGGGGTATCCACCACCACCCGAGTGGTATTACCCCGAGACTCCCTGGAGCAATCAAGGAGGAGAAGACTATGGATTCGGGTTCCAGTACCAACCCCCTTACTACGTAGAACAACCGGACCCTTGGGCATATCAAGAACAACCTCATTACCAAGAAGAATTTTTCCCACAACCAGAGGGGCCATTGGAGCTGGAATTACCCATGGCGGCCTTCACGGGCCATTCTGCAGAGCCATGCTACACTCCACAGCCAGATCCACACTATGAATTGAGACTTCTCATGGATCAGTTTGCTAGGGACTGTGATAGAACATGCTCCAGGATGGATCATTGTGTCCAGGCCTACCGTGAAACAGAGGAGATCCTCCTGAGCCTTAAGAAGAGCGTCGATGATCTTGAGAGATCTTGGGCACAACCTGATCCAGATCACCCTTCTACTACCATACTAGAAGAGGAGGAGGAAGAAGAAGGCTACAAGGACATTGTGGAGCACACTAAAGATGTCACGAAGAGCTCCCGTGATGATCATGATCAGGAATGTCCTATCATAGCCAACCACACCTTCCCACACCCCAAACTGAGCTTTGAAGAGGCGGGCATGAGTGAGGAGATGCGAGAAGATCTCATGAAAGAAATTGCTTGGCAACTTGCTCTCCAATCCGTGCTAGAAGAAGAAGAGCAAGAAAGGGTGCAGAAAGAAGTTGTGGAGGATGACGAAAGTGAAGCTGGAGGAGTTCTTGATCATTTCCCAGGGGTGATACCACATGAAGAAGGAAGGGAGGTTGAAGAAGCAATTGGCGTCCAGGCTGAGGACGAAGTTGAGGTGGAAGAGGCTTGCACCGGCCATGAGTTACATTTGATATCTCCACCAAACTTCGAGGAACTGCTTAGCAAGGACCCATTTGCAGTGTCTCTTTGCCAGACCAAGGCCACATCGACATCGGTCCCTCTTGGTGGACGCGATGGTGGTCAATCGATGCTGTCATATCTGGTTTGGGGCAATGAGACGAGAGAAGAGAAGAAGAGGTCTCGAGGGTGGAGACGTTATCTGCATCAAGTGCACGAGCTTCCATCACCTGTCATACCACATGCTCGTGACTTGAGACTCCACCTCATCGACGAGAACCTCAACTTCAAAGAGGTTTTGGGGTGGACCGAAACTTAGGAGCCATCGTCCGGCTCATGACGTGAAAGAAGCGCTTGTTGGGAGGCAACCCAACCAGTCGGTTTGCATTTCTTTCTCTTTTTCTCCTCGGTTGAGTCAGTTTTGTTATTTAATTTTAGAGTCAATAATTCAACCTTTGTGAGATTTTGTGTGGTGTTTGTGGTCTGACCATTCTCTCCTCCTGGAATATGCCGCCTGCCCCGTCCACCATCATTCACCCTGGATCTGGTAACTTCGTTCTACCCTCCTTATCTTTCCTCCATTGAGGACAATGTCGTGCTTAAGTGTGGGGGATGTTCGATTATGTATCCGTGTGAATGTTTGACTGTTTGTGTGCTTGGAGCCTAGTCCACTGTCCAAATTTCGATTTGAGGGCTCCAAGTACATGTTCATTGCAATTGCCTGCTCAGTATGTTTTGAATTGACAGTCTTTATAGTAATATGCAACCTAGGGAGGTAGTGTAGCACTATGGAGGATGTTGATGCATTTAAGAAGTCTCATTTCTTCTTCATATTGTGTTGGTTGATTGAGTGAATTAGTGATCTTAGGACCCTTGAATTGTGTGGTGTTGTGGACTCTCTACCTGTCATGGACTCTTGTATCATGTTTTGAAATAAAAGGTGCTCGATAATGTGCTTTAAAATAACGTTTCCCGTGCGAATAGGGCGAAAGTGTGTAAGGGGAGACGGGAATTCGTTCCCAATTTCCACCTACTACCTCCAGCCCTCTTACATTCCTTTTCCCCGCACGAGACTCAAGAAATTCGCTCCCGGCATGGCCGGTAAGAGCCGGGTTCCCGCAAAACCTTTGCTAGGTGGGAGCCCGTTTTCTGAAAATCGGGTTGGAACCCTTGAAAAAGAAAGAAAGAAAAAGAGAACAAAAGAAAAGGAAAAAAGGGGGTTCCAACCGTCTTCAAAAAGAAAATAAGAGCACCTTGAAAAATGTGAGTCCATGATCTTATGCTTTTGAGAGTCTCTTCGTCCACGATTCATTTGTCCTCTGATCACTATTTGCCATGATGCCGACTCGAGACTAGCGTTCTCGCCGAAGAAGCTATGAGATGACTTGTGCGTCGGTTGACCTCGTAAGCTGCTAAATGATCTAGAAAATCCTCTATCAAGGATCGAGGGTGCATGTTGCTATAGAGGTCTGGAGAGCTGCATTGGTTTGAGTTAGGTTTGCTTGGGGACAAGCAAACGGTTAAGTGTGGGGGGATTTGATGACTCGATATTTGCACATGTTTTCCCCTTTGTTTCTTGATCGTTTAAGCTTGCATTATTGCTTCTTTGGCCTATTTTACACTAGGTCGTGTTCGTTTGTCACATTTCAGGTCCTAGCACATAAAGTGAAGCGTAGGCGCAAGTTTCAAGTCAATCGGAGATCAATTGGCGACTCGGGGGAAGAAACTCGGGTATGACTTGTAGAAGAAGGGATTTCTACCTCAGTTTGTGACCATATAATCATGTAATCTTGTCATGAGAAGAAAGAGGACGAGACTACGAGCGTCTGGGATCAAACGACACCTGATTTGGAGTCCGAACGAGGGAGAAAAGAAGAATCAAAGATAGGGGAAAATTGGTTTCGGGCTTCTCTGAGAAACAGAAGGGGGCCCTATCGTGAAGCTAAAATCCCCGGTAGAGGATTTTTGGCCTTGATAGGGGATTTTCCCAAAAATCCCCTATCGTGAACCAAAAATCCCCGGTCGTGAACCAAAATCCCCGGTCTTGACCCAAAAATCCCCTATCGTGAACCAAAAAATCCCCTGTCGTGACCTAAAATACCCTACCGGGTATTTTGACCGGGGATCGCGAACGCAGGCTGTTAAAAGCCTGTTTTGTGCGTTTTTGCAAAGGGAGAGCTGGGTTTTGGATCCCAAACACCCTAGGGATGAACCAAAGAGAGAGAGAGGGCGATTTGAGGGCATTCTTGGAGTGGAATTGGAGGATTTCTTTGCCTTGGAAGCTCGAGGAACAAGCCCGGACTTGAAGACTGATCATCTGAAGATTCTTACTGCAGTCTCTCTCTTCTCTATGGAGTAACTTCCCTTCACTTAGGTTTTGAGGAACCCTAGCTATGTTTGTTTGATTGGATGATTGTATGATTACTCTGACTTGATAATCTT